CTGAACCTCCTTGTCCTGAGGAAGTTTTTTGACTCCTCAGGAATCACGGGGGTGACAAGGGTCGTCCGCAGAGACAGCGGTGGCCTTATCGTCACCTTCGCGGAATGGGGAGAGGCCCAGCAATTAGCCAACCTAAGAGAAATCAACGGGATCCAGATCCTAGTTGAAGCCTGCATAGAAGACAACTTGGTTTTGGGAGTCATCTCCCACACAGAAATTGAACATCTAGAAAAAGAAGAACTGGCCGAGCTGATCGGAGACCAGCTCCCAATAGTACGGAAGCTGACCAGTACAACTGCACTGGTTGGCTACCCAAAGAAACTACCAAGCACCGTTTTGCTGGGATGGGAGAAGATCCCAGTAAGACCGTATCAACGAAGGCCTACAAGATGCTACAAATGCCAGAGGTACGTCCATCTGGCGCGGAAGTGTCGTGCTCGGGAGGTCTGTTCCAGTTGCGGGACACCCGGGCACCAGGACACCAACTGCGCGGCCGCCAAGAAGTGCGCAGCTTGTGGTGGCCCTCACTCCTCCGACCGGGAGTGTCCCAAGTGGAGGGAGGAGTGTAGGGTGGCTAAGCTGCGAAGTAAGGAAAAATTGAGCTACAAGGAGGCTCTCCTTGTAGTGAAAACTGAATTAAAGACGAACAAGACCACAACAAATAAAAATCAAGACCCCAAGAAGACCACGGAAAAAAAAGAAGCCAAAATTAAACCCGATTTTATAACACTATCATTAATACCGTTTATAGACGTGTATGAGAATATTCCAGAACAAGACCAAGAAGAAGAATGGAAATTGAAAAGTAAAAGAAGTAACAAGAAAAGGAAGAAGTCCAAAGAAAATTATTCTACAAACAAACAGCTTCGGCCGAAATAGCCTAACGGCGAAGTGGCCAATAATCCCCTATACAAGTCTAGACCAATAGAAGCCCTGATAAATATTTACAACTCAACCTTATCCGCTGGTTACTTTCCAGATGCCCTCAAGCGGGCAAAAATGATCTTCATTCCCAAAGAAGGCAAGGATCCAATACAGATAATAAACTACAGACCTATATCCTTACTGGAAATAACCGGGAAACTCTTTGAACACATACTAAATAACAGACTAGATAAGTTCCTGGTTAACCACAACAAACTCAACCCAAGACAACACTCATTATTCTGGCTAACGCTAGACGATTTTATTCAATTAATATAAACCCCCTACAATACAACGAGTTAATAATAATAATAAAAATGATGAATGCATTCCTAGTAAAACAGCTCTAGGCTTCATCGTGGTAAAGGATAGTGTATATAATGTACAAAAATGTAGAAAAAACATATATTCAGTGGCGTCAGTGGCTAGTTTCTCACCAGAGTTTATCACTTTCCCAGCAACCTCTTCAACATATGGAGAAGCTCAATGCTCTTGGCAACAGTGTGTGACGCCCTGAAGCAGTCGGCAGCATGGGGTCCCTTTAGGCAGGTTAGTGAAGGTTATATCCAACCTTGTATGTGTGTGTGTGTGTGATTAAGTCATGATTTTGTAAGTCCCCAGATTTAGATACACATAAGAGCACTATTAGGTATCAGACAACATAGAAATTATTTTTTTGTTATGGGGTGAGGGAAGGGAGGGGTGTGTAACCTCAATAAAAGGGTACAAATGAAAGATCTTGCTAACAATTATAAAAAAAAGAAGGTGAAGGGGCACTGTATATAAATATATTTCTCTCTGTTTATTCTTTTTCTTCCATCTTGTTTTTTTTTCTTTTTCAATATCTTTTGTTTCTTCTTAATTTTTTTTTTTCGTATATAATCTTGATTCATCATTTCTCATTCCTTATCATCATTTCTCTCTCTTGTTTTTCTAGGCCACTATAGCATATCATCTCTCTCTCTCTCTCTCTCTCTCTCTCTCTCTCTCCTTGTTTATTTTTCTGGGCCACTTACTAGGGTATTCGTCCTCTCACTCAATTATGCATCACCCTGTACAATTAGCATAAAGCTGATAACGATTTTCCTGTCTCTATTATTGTCGTTCATTTGTTTTTGTTTCTCTTGAGCAATGGCCTCATTCCTTGTCCCTCTTTTGTTGTTGTTTTTTTATTCTTTTTCTTCGCTTTGTTTCTTGTTCTGTGATTATTTTGGTATTGGAATTAAAGAGAGGGAGAGGGAGAAAGATTTTGCCCTTACCTTTAACACTTCCCCTTACCCTTAACACCACCCCTTAACACTTCCCCTTACCCTTAACACTTCCCCTTACCCTTAACACCTCCTTACCCTCAGTACCTCCTTACCCTAGCACCTCCTTTCCTTAGCACCTCCTTACCCTTAACACTTCCCCTTACCCTTAACACCTCCCTTACCCTTAACACCACCCCTTTACACTTCCTTACCCTCCTTACCCTTAACACCAACACCCTTTACTTCCCTTACCTTAACACCACCTTTACACTTCCCCTTACCCAACACCTCCTTACCCTTAACACCACCCCTTTACACTTCCCCTTACCCTTAGCACCTCCCCTTACCCTTAACACCTCCCCTTTCCCTTAGCACCTCCCCTTACCCTTAACACCTCCCCTTACCCTTAACACCTCCCCTTACCCATTAAACTTACCCTCAGCAGTTTCTAGTATCATTAACCCTTGCCCGTAAATCACACCCCTTTAAGCCCTGAACATTAAGAATATCACCAAGATGAACTTTCCGCCCCTCTCCCCTCTCCCCTCTTCCTCCCCTCCCCCCTCTTCCTCCTCCCCTTTTCCATCTCTTCCCCCCCCACTCCCTTTCCCCTTCCTTTTAATGTAGGTTAGGTTAGGTTAAGTTAGGTGTAGGTTAGGTTAAGTTAAATGTAGGTTAGGGATAGATTAAGTTAAGGTAGGTTAGGAATAGGTTAAGGGTAGGTTAGGTTAGGGATAGGTTCAGTTAGGGGTAGGTTAGGTTAGGGATAGGTTCAGTTAGGGGTAGGTTAGGTTAGGGATAGGTTCAGTTAGGGGTAGGTTAGGTTATGCTAGTGATAGAGTAAGTTAGGGTTACGTTTGAAGCAGTTGATGTTAGGTTAAGGAAGGTCACATTACATTAACTTACAGTAGGCATCAGGTTATGGGGGATTAATTAATGATTATCTCCCACTATCTCCCCCTTCCACTATCTCCCCCTCCCACTATCTCCCCCACTATCTCCCCCACTATCTCCCTCCCCTCACTATCTCCCCCCACTATCTCCCCCTCCCCATTATCTCCCTCCCACTATTTCCTCCCCTATTTCCCTCCCACTATCTCCCCCTCCCACTATCTCCCCCTCCCACTATCTCCCCTCCCACTATCTCCCCTCCCACTATCTCCCCCCCATTATCTCCCCCACTATCTCCCCCTTCCCACTACCCTCCCACTATCTCCCCTTCCCACTACCCCCCCTCCCCCTCTACTCCACCCCTTCACAATGAACCTAAATGAGAATATTGACCAGTACTACAAAGGCTACCTCTGGACACAGCCATAAATAATTGACACCAATATGCTGACTCCCCGAAAGGAACACTATACTACCATAGAAAAACACAGACACACACACACACTATGTCTCTACCCTCTACCTATTATCTCTACGCATATCGATGTGTTATTGTTTTATGACTCGCCTTGAATTTTAGAAGAAGTATGTTAGCGTTTGCCTTATATGTCACGTGCTTTTTAATTTACGAACTCGTCAATTTGTAATTTCCTGAAGGTATCATTGTTTTAGTAGGCAAAATAGCAGGTTGATTTTAATACTTATATTCGGATAGCTTTTATATTTGATGTACTGTATATATGTATAACGTGATTGCTACCTCATCGTCAGCAAGGGTAAGAATTTGTTCCTGTTTTAATATTTTATACCAGATGACACGGGTAAGGACTTTCTCACTACAGCTCTTGTTGTTGGGGGTAAACACACACACACACACACACCACACGTATACACAAAACATTAATGTATTTTGTTGACTTTTTTGTGTTTTGTTGTAGTCTTAAGTAAGTATTGTGTTAATATGATTTTATTTTGTTGACTTGTTTATTAAGCTTTGTGTTTTAATATATTACGCGGTTTACAATAGTGTTTTAAATCATTTCAGCTGTTTAACTAATACACAGTTGGTGATGAAGGTTTTCTTATACAAGTATCTATAATCTCTGGCTGTTTACGATTTATTTCTATTTTCTATCATTTTATGCCTGTGTAGACAAGTACTCAACATTGTTTACCCTGGATTGATCTGGTGTGCGTGTGTAAAGACTACTGTCGGATGATGAAGCAACGTCCAGCTAAGGATTTATTATCAACAAGGGGGAAGCGAATTATTATTAGCCTATTATTATTATTATTATTATTATTATTATTATTATTATTTTGTGGTTGTTGTTGTTGTTAGTAGTAGTAGTATTATTGTTATTGTTGCTATTATAAGTAGTAGTAGTACTGTAGTAGTAGTAGGTTCCATAAACTTGACTGTGTGGATACATATCATTAGACATAAGTATTCTGTACTTGCTCGCTGGAATGAGTGGTGTGCGGGTGCCCTGGTGCCGCCTATACGGACCCTGAGGACAAGAGGTGAACACTGTATCTACTCGGTTTCCTACTCATCAAGCGATAGTAAATTGTAGTAAAAAATATATAACATTTATGTTTATGAACTGGTGTTGTTAGTCATCGCCTGAGGTATGTTTATCTCTGCGAGTGATGATACTAATCACTCACTGCCGCAGTAATCATCGTCCCCTGCACCTATGAAAGTGTTGTACATGGGTCACCAAGTGCTCACGACTCCAAAATAATATTGGTACTCTCACTCCAAAAGTATCTTTACGGCTTTGTGTAAGACAATATGACACAACAGACTAATGATATTGACAACCCTACAGGAGTCGCGGTGTTCATTTTGACAGTCATCAGAGCCCATTGTAAAGATACTTTTTGGAGCGGATAATTACCAACGTCTACTGTACTGTACTGTATACTTACCATTTGTTCATGGTAGCTCATGGATTAGTTGGTGACGTTAGCAGATGGCGTCAACCGATTGGGTCAGCTGGTTAGGTCCCTCGATGGGGTCATTTGCTAGGTTGAACTGGTGGAGTTAGCCGGTGTGGTAACTGTTAGGATCAGTAGTTGGTCCAAGTAGTTGGGGTCAGCTGCTTACGTCAGCTCGTGGAGTTAGTCGTATAAAGGTCAGCCGTGAAGGTAGCCAATGGAGTGAATCAGTGGGTGACGTCAGCTTTATAAGGCTAGCTGGTGGGGTCAGCTGACCCATCTCCACTGTCTCTTTACTTCACAGGTAGTTGCCATTTTTAATCAGGTCTTACATAATTACAACCTAAATGCATGCATAATATTTCCCTTCATTTCCAAAACTCATAACATTTCCAAAACAAACTTTCACTCTTTCCCTTAACATTAACAAAAAAGACGACTCTAAATTGGCGACTATAATTTCCAAACTGTTTCAGAATATCAATGAGTACTGTACAATACAGTATATGTCAAATATATTTTTTAGCAAGTTTGCTGTGACTTCGGGAAACGCTATCGTAGTTCGCCGTTTATTGGGTGCTGAAGCCTCGAGATTCATGTATGAGTGTTACAGGTCCATGGCACCGAGGAGCCCCTCCATCAGAGTGCCGGGACAGTGTCAGCCACGGAGAGGTGTGTACCATTGAACAGCAGAACTGTCACTGGAGGTGCCACAGAAGCCAGCTTGTGCTACTCCTCCCACTAACTCTCACGTTTCTGAAACCCGGATATTCAAAGATTCATCTTTCGTTTCATTTCCGAATTGTATAATTTTTATTTTTTATTATGGTTTTATACTTCCTCTTCTCCCCAACCACACCACCACACTCCCCTCTCCCACACCACCACACTCCCCTCTCCCACACCACCACACTCTCCTCTCCCACACCACCACACTCTCCCCAACCACACCACCACACTCCCCTCTCCCACACCACCACACTCTCCTCTCCCACACCACCACACTCTCCCCACACCACCACACTCTCCTCTCCCACACCACCACACTCTCCCTCCCCTCTCCACACCACCACACTCTCCCCTCCCACACCACCACACTCTCCCCTCCCACACCATCACACTCTCCCCACTCACACTACTTCCTCATTTACCTGCCTCCTCCCTCTCGGCCTTACACACCTGTGGCTGCTGCTGGACACCATACTCTGTTTTCATTTGTGATGTGTGTGTGTGACGTGTGTGTGAGTTGACGTTCTAATATTATTACTATGGTTCAACTGCTTAGATCTTTTAGTACTTAACAAGGTAAATAAATACATTAGTCCTTCAACAATACAAAATTCGGGAGATCACACTCTCAGGATCTAATGATAATGATTTTAATTATTTTAATATTAAATGTTTATTGAGAGTAAATAGCAGCTATCATCTGAAAAACACAATGAACAACGATGACATTGGTTACATGGGTGAGAGTGGGGAGTGGGTCATTGAATAAAAGTTTTCACTACAACAGGAGAAGGGAATACGGGGTAAACATATCAGTTACATACAGTACAGTGCAGTAGAGTGGCCCTCGGATTAGCCCACCCGGGCACAGGTCACTGACCCACATCGGGGCCTAGGGGGCGAAAATGTAATTTTAATAATAATAATAATAATAATAATAATGGTATAAAGAACCATAAAAAATACAAAAATGAAAAACAAATCAATAGTGAGAAGCAATATATGTATGTTGTGTTGTTAATAATAAGAGAAACAATTGAAACCCTGCAACTGAGTGTAAATGAAGCAGAAAGTCAGCAACATGGGATTTGGTCACAATTTTCGTGATACCATATGGTAGCAGGGTCTACCGTTAGTCAACACATTAAGCTTCCAATATCTTCTCAGTCTGTAGTAGCTCCCTGTTTGATAGCTGCCTACAAGATGATGTGGCGGTAGTTGGAGTTTGTAAGAAAGTTATAAATGAAACTAGGCTATTCTGCTACCCGAAGTTGCATCTTTAATAATTGTGAGCCTACACAAAAGTTTGGTTTAAATGTTACTGTTCCTGTTTTGTTAAATTCTATTAAAGTGTATTGTAATAGTAGCATTTACTGTATCTTGTTGATAAATTTGACATAAATAATAGTACAGTTTGATGTAGCTGTGGCCAAATTCTTATCTGGAAATGATTGCCATAGAAAGTGAAATTAGTTGTCAGCATTCTATGTTGTAAAATGGTAATAAATATAGGTAAGAATTTTATAGAATACTTATTTTTTTATAAAACGTACCATATTTTAAAGGTTATATACATTTTATATCTTAATTATGTATAATTATAAGTCTTGGGATTAAATTTTGTGTGTTTGTCTCGTTAGTCGAATACGACCAGTTTGTTTTGAGCCAGGGTAAAGTTGCCAGCTATCAGAGATTATTTTCGAAGATTAGATTTGGCTAACATTCAGGCTATAATTATATATAAGAGATTTTATATATCATTAAATAACATTTCATAGTCATATCTTATTCATGAAAATACACAAAGAAAAAAATAAAATAAAAATAAATATAGTATATTGTATATTAGGCTGTACAACATATATGAATGGTATCTCAGCAGTAATAACCAAAATGTACATTAGTTTTAAATATAATAACACATATATTTATTCACAGTGCTTTTTAATAATTCATTAATCTACAAAGCTATTGTAACTTGAGCATATGTGAATGATACAGTAAATGTAATGGACGGAAGTATCTGTAGCAACAAAAGTCTGGGACCTGACCGTGAGACTCCCTAAGTGGGGAGTCTTCCCTTAAGTGCCACTTGGGAATATAAAATACCAGGAGATATATTAGGTAGGAGGATTGTCACACGACGATAGGGATGAAATATGGTAGTTTGAGGAGCATGTTGAGGGATATAATGGTTGTGCAAGATGGGGGTGTGAGCTGTGCAGAATATATTTTTGTTCATGGTTTCATTCTTTTTATTTTCAAGTGACAGAGTGATGATGACTTACATTTGTGAACTGTGAGGTAAATTTATAGAAAAACACCGTTCTTTCATTGGGTATTAAAAATATGTTTTTCGTATGGTTTTTGAGGTATGCGGACAAAACCCCAGTGGACAAAATCCCAGTGGACAAAACCCCAACCCATTATATGAAAAGCGGACAGAACCCCAGTCTAATATATAAAATGAAAAACTAAAACACTTTTATGTTTGCAAACACACATTATATATACATTTTATTTTTCACAATCCACAAAACCCTTTTACATTTGTCGGTAATTGACATTTTAAATACACAGTATATGGTCCACTTATGAAAATTGTGGACGGAAATAAAGTCACAGGATAAAAAGTCACATGACTTGTACACATTGTCAACACATTATATATATGATGGTATTGCACATAGGTTAGGTTAAGTTAGATTAGGTTAGGTTAAGTTAGGTTAGGATGGGTTGGATTAGGTTAGGTTTTTTCCATTGGGGTTTTGTCCACTGGGATTTTGTCCGTTGGGGTTTTGTCATGGTTTCGGTTTTTGATGAGTTTCGAACGAATTTGATATTCATTTGCATTATATTTAGTTGGTCATGTTTTTTTGTCGGAAAACACTTGTTTCTCTCCCCCACCCAAAACCCCGGTTCCAAACAGGATCCCCTGTCTTGGGGTAGAAGGGGGCGATAATAAAAACTGGCAATTTCCGACGAAATCAAGGTCAGAAAAACACTAGAAAAACATAGTTTTGACTTGATAACAGAGTTGGGTGAATTGATAGTATCACACCGGTCTTTATGCCTGTATTAAAAATATGTATTTCATAATGTTTACACAATTCTAAGACATTTTTCTTCTTTGATATTTCCACCGGAAATTAAGAATAACCGAGATATTAATTTTTCAAGAGTATTACTTTCACTCAGTCACAAGTGTCGCCATGATTGTTTACCTATGGCGGAGGTGGTCTGACCCCTGCTCACGTACTCTCCAGGCCTCCGATGTGGGGTCCATGGGGACTCTGTTCCCATGGTTAGGTTAGGTTTTCTCGGTTGGTTGGTAATATAATTTGTTATTTACTAAAAAAAAATCCAACTTTCTGTTATGATTGTTGGGTGAGGGGGGGGGGGTGTAAAAAAACACGTGATATCCGGTGGAAATGTACTGACAATCCCTGAGTTATGATCAGGTTACGTTCCTGGACCCTGTATACATCTTTTGTTGAATGTCTTGGCATTTCCACAAAATTTACAAAAGAAAATATTGTACCAAAAACTGTAATTTACTGGGAAGCCATTTGATTGATTCTAAGGATCAACTTGCTGTGTGAATATAAAAAAAGAAATATCAAAAGATATAGGTAAAGGCTTGTGTTTGTCTTGATATCTTTAATGCAAATGACAATAAAGGGGGCCCCACAAATTTGCGGGGGTTAGGTTTTCAAAATGGCCGCGAATCGCCAAATCCGCGAATAACATTTACTTGTGTACAAATAAATGTATATTCCCTTTATGTGTTTGCCCTTAGGACAATTATTTCTTTTACCTGTATTGTATATATGTGTCGTCTTATAGAGATTTAGTACTTGATTAAAGCAAACAAGTTGATGATGAGTCTCAAAATGTTCCAAAAAATAAAGTGGTATTACTCTTATGAAACTTTGTCTAAAAGGCTACTGTAATAGATTTGTTCATGCACTTCCAGGACTGAGAGGAAGCCAAGATGGTGATGAATGGTGAAGAGCCTGACTGGACACGGCTGCCAGACAGCATCCTTCTCCACATCTTCATGCAGTTAGAGTATACTGACATGCCACATGTGGGTTTAGTTTGCAAGTGAGTGCCCTGTTTCTTTGTATTGGCACGATTACCAGAGTAGCCCAGAAGCTTTTCAAGGGGTAGGAGGAGTTACCCAAATTTTGTAACAAAGTCTGATAAATACATTTTCTTATAAGACCTGTTAAACAATAATGTCCCTTTGTGCCACTAAATGATTGTATTATTCTGGGACATTGGAACCTCGATAACTTAGACTAATCAGGAGGTAAGGGCATCCAAAAAATGTGATCTTCCATAAAATCTAAGTACAGTATTTTCCACCTTGGTGTAAATAATTACAATGCTCCTTATGGCCAGTCTCCCTTTACTAGTCAGCTTGTGTTTTCCTTCTAGTTAACTTGAGGCAGTAGGTGTGATGAGCACATGATGCCACATAAGGTCAAGGTGATCACTGATGCTGCTGCCCCCCAGATCAATAGGTGCCACCATCTAAACTGGCCTCTACTTCTGAGAACATTTCTCTTGATAAAGATCATAGACTCTGGGAACCTGGGGTACCAAGACCCTGGAGTTTCTGAATGAGCTGGGTTTCAGGTTCATTGAAACCAGCAGTGACACCCGAGCATCAAGTTATTTGTTCCAATGAGTTAGCATAGCAACCCAGAGAGAGAATGCTTGCTGTATAGTTCTTTGATCTCATCCCCCACTTGAGGAGCTCAAGGGAGTCTTCAAAAGTTCAAATTGGGAAGAGTGAGCATGTTTGTACAGTAAATAAAAATAAATAAAAACTGAAAGTATTTACAAAAAAGTAGAAGGATTAAAAAGTGAGAGGATGACAGGAAAAGACTACTGTATACCTACCCAAAGTTCAAGTTGATAAAGCCCTCCACTTCCAGCCTCTGCAGGATGTAAATGCCTGATCAGCTGTGCTTGATTGATGTTCAGTCTCACAGTGCCACTTGTATGTAACTGTGTATTTTCAGTCTTCCAGCTGTCATGCTCTTTCAATAAATCATCAATTATTATTATTATTATTATTATTACTATCACACACACACACACACACTGATTGTCCAATTTCTCCTCTTTTCTGACTTTTTAATAGAGGGTAAAATTAGATAAAAGAATATTATTCTATTTTTCTCAAATTTTATTTTAAAATGCCCAAATCTTTCATAAAGTGGTTACATGTACTGCACTGCACAGTATTTTATAAGGTAGATTTTTTGTTTCAAGATATAATATTTCTGTACTGTACTATTTTAGTGAACTTTTCCCATCGCTGCTTTTAAGATTAAAGAAATCCACTTTTATACAGTACAGTATTCACCGATATACTGCTCTACTGGGGAAAACTTTTGTGAAATTCATGGATTTAATTACATTTGTAGATCATGGCAGCGGGTGTCTTATGACGAGTTCCTTTGGCGCCACTACTTCTACAAAGATTTCCAGGTGGACCTTGCTGTTCCAATCATGCCAGGTACAGTATATGACTCTGCATAGCACTGGATTTTATCACCTTGTTGTTTGATGACGATGTAAGTAATTGAAAATTTTTATTTCTTTATTTTTAATGAGTTTGTTACTTGCATCTATGTAATAAAAATATCTCTTAGTCCTTCAGTTATGCATTTTACTGTCATACATCTAACAGCTTTGTGTATGAGACTACCTAAAGACTTTCAAGCCTGGAAATTCATGAAAAGGTCAGAGAATAGAGGCAGAATACAAGTCAATTCATTTTCTGTATTTGTCTTGTACCAATTCTATATCAATTCACGCTTTCCTTTTGGTTTAGTAGCCCTTGATGGGTAGAGGAGTGAAGGTAATAGAAATATAAGGTAAAGTCACTGGGGTTAAATAATAACTCACTTTTATCATTTCAGGTCGAACTTCTTGGCGTGGGGAATACCAACGTCTAGTGGAGGGGACACCAGTAGTGGAAACAGAAGAAATACATGAACACAATCATCAAGTTCTCCATGTTTCATTCTCGCATAAGGGCGATATGTTCGCTACATCGTCGAAAGATGGATTCATTGTTGTGAGTTCAATGGATGGATCTGCTGGTGACTGTTTTTGGAGTGTTGTTTCTATAAGGTGTTTAGTACAATCTGATCAGTGAAGCCATGAATTCCTACTTCACTGGGGATTCAGATTAAACTGCCTCTGAACTGAAAAACATTATGATGATGGTGACAGGCATTTCTATCTCATTCCCTGAAGACATAATTATCGAAGACACTGTCAAAAAGAGAGAATGAAGAGAACTAACACAGGAGGCAGTACAGTATACCGTATCAACCCTTTGCTACACAAATGTCAGAGGTAAACTTGCCTTACTGGAAGTGTCTCCAAAAGTTCTTACCGATATCAGTATGATGGATGGACATGTTTGTGTGACAAAATTGATATGAGACTGTTGACAACACCTGGGAGATTTACTGGTACCATTGCCAAAAGTTTGGAGATGCTGTCTTAAATTGTCCATAGAAGGATAATTTGCGAATTGGTTCCTTCATCAAATGGGTCCTGCCTTAGTGTACCTCCTTAACAGTTCACCCATTTTATCTCTAGCACAGAGCACTTAGTGTTAGTCTCCTAGCATGAAAGGGTAATTGAAAATAGTCATTTCTCCATAAAAATCTTTTACTGTCAGCTCTGGATCTATTAAGAATAGCCTTATTTAGTGTCCAAGTTGTACAAATTAAAGTGATTTATATTTATGAGATATTGAAAAGATTTTACTCAGAATTTCTCTCTACATACAAAGAAGATTTCTTTTTAATTTTAAATTACTGTGAATGAGTAAGGATTAAATAATTGTACAGGTATTTGTACAAGAATAGATAAAAATGACCCAGACTTTACTAAGCTTACTGTGCTAACTATCATATAAAAAAAAAAAATTTTGGTAGTTGTGTATTTCCAATAATTCTTATGGCATTTTGAACAACTTTCATTGTATTTCAGGTTTGGAATACCACATATCCAGCGATAGTGAGGCATTACAGGGATATGAAGCTGCATTCCTGGAAATACACACAATTCTCCCAGTTCAACAGCACAGACACACTACTACTCGTCTCAGGAGTACACTTTGGCAGCTACAATAGCACATCGGGAGAAATAGCCGTCTTTAACTTAGAAAGTAAGTTGTTTTAAAATTACAGTACAGGGGGCTCCCCAAATTCACAGATTTTTATTTCGTGGTTCTCTAATATTCGTGGATGACACCCTGGATGTACCCAAGAATGTCTGCTGGTAGTTTAAAGGTTGCCGACATTTTCACGGCCGGGACAGGAAACCATTCATTCTAGAGACAGTAATTTCCTTTACCTGTATTGTAAATATGTATGTGTGTGTGTAGACACACACACACACATATACATATTACAATACAATGCAATACATATACACAATCAGAAACAAATTTAATAAAAATGTGAGTCTACCCTCAAGTCTGTGCTTTATTATTTTATTAATAAAGTATGACCTTGAGGGTAGACTGTTACATTTTTAATAAATTTGTGAGAGTATTTTCCCATTACTATTTACATGTATTTGTATATGTTTTGTTTGTGTGTGTCTACACACACACACACACATATATACAATACAGGTAAAATAAATAATTGTCCCAAGGGCAAACACATAAAGGGAATACTGTACAGTATACAGGAAAAAGCCTCCGATAACGACGGTTCTACTAACGACGATTCATATCTAAGTCCCTGGTTAATTTAGCACCCAATTCAATTTACACTATTACTTTCTTTGTATTTACGACAAAAATATTATAAAAAAATAAAGTCAAATTACATTTTCATATAAATAATAACAATACCGATATTTATTATAGAAAAAAAATCACTCCATGCGCACGGAGGCTGCCATGCTTGTTACTGGTGACGCCAGCATCACTAATATAAACAGTCGCAGCTGGCGGGCCCTTTGTTTTCATGCATCTGAACAGGAAAAGGAGTAAAACATTCTCAGGTTAAGTACTGCAGAAAATGCGTCCCTATTCAACATGAGCAAGAGAACAAGTGATGGTAGTGCTGGTTCAAAAGCTAATAGAAAGTGACGGGCTAGACTGTTTGGAGACATGTGGCACCAATGTGTTTGTTTACATCCTAGGTAATTACACGAATGAACTGGAGTAACCTCCAGGAACGAAACCCATCCGTAACCCAGCATGTTATATTTTCCTGTTCCTTTTTTTTTCTTTCTTTTTTTTGAATTCTTTTTACTTTACTCTCAATTGGACAGATTACTTCCATTCATATTTACCCAGTTTAAGTTAGGTTATTAAAGGCCATTTCTATCTAGTATGATTTAAAAGAGGTTATTGAGTGTAAGTTCTCTATACATAGGGTATACAGGGCTATTGTAGTTTGTATATTTACTGTATTAATATTCTTCCTGTACTTTATTGAGTTCTTTGTTTCAGGGGAATTCCAGCTACAGTGTAGAGTATTAAACAAACCTTACGACATTTTTGGTACCTGGTACAATGATCAGTACCTCCTCTCTGGTGACCTTCACTGGCTGGCTCATTTGGTGAGTGTTAAAGCTGTGAGGTTCAACAGTTGTCCACAGGGGATAGGACTATTAGAGCTAAACCTATCAACACATTTTGCACCACAGCTCTCACTCTTTTGTTCCAAGCCATTGCATTATTTTTAATTCAGCTACCTGGTTGTGGTCACAGCTAGTAAAAGGGGTACAGGATCAATCCAGCATACTTGTAATGAAATTATTTTTGCATTTTTAATGTAATTTCAATTGTGCTTTTAAATCTGTTTCAACAATATTATTTCAAATTGAGAATAGTTTTTAACAGCTAAGAAATTTGTTATACCTGTACTACAAGGCAGAAATTGGATTTACGACCTGCATGATTACTAATTTGTGTTGAAGATTGTTAATTATCTTAAATTTATTTCAGGTTAGCACCAGTGTTATATGGCTTAATAAAGCAAACCAGGAAAATAATTCTGAGCATGAAGCAATCATCACTCGTTTATATAAATTTTACAATCGTAATGCCTCGAGCGTTCGCACAATCCTCGTAGCAAACTGTTTGACTCCGGATTCAACGAATAATTCAGAAGTTGTTGAACGGATGGAAGAAAAAACAGAAGAGAAGGAGGTATGCCGCTGTTATTCTTTTTTATTATTAACAAGCATAGTAAAACTTCATTGGCCATAATAGATGTTCTTATGGTTTACAAAGTTTCATCTCAATATACATTAGCGTGAAATAGAAAGTTTTTAATAAGTATGTTCACCATCACTAACAGGTTGTTGAGAGAGGTAACCCGCCATCCCATCGAGAACTGAGTGTCCATCAACCTCCTGTCACAGAATATCAGAAAGATCAACCTCCACCTGTGAAGAAAGCCGTATCTACAAACCCGATCACTTACACAAATGACTATAGACGTGCTGAAGTTGAATTACCAGATGGGAACTTGGCTGAGCATGGATTAGAGCATCAAATTACTCAACCTTCATCGTGTAAGAAGACCATTTATACAAACCCAATCACTTACACGAGAGACTATAGACGTGCCGAAGTTGAACCACCAGATGGGAACTCGGCTGAATTGGGAGGAAAAATGGTAAGTAAAATATTTTATTTATTTATTTATTTATTATTCAGGTTTATCATACTGTTCTGTGTTCTTAAATCTCGTTCCAGAAAAGAATACATGCCTCAGGTCATACTTTGGACCGATTTTTGTATCAATGTGACTGACTATGCAGAGAGTGCAGACATTACTTGATGGATACTAATATTTTAGACCTTGCTATGTTTGCTTTCAGTTTGCACCTTTAAAGATATATATCATAAACACTCACATAAGAAAACTTTCACATCATTAACAAGGCTAGAATCATACATAAAACTGACCATACTTTATATACAATGAGTGTCTCTATCATCTGATTATCTAGTTAGGACTTAAGATAATATTTTTCATTCCATCTCTGATCATTAATGTGTAGAAGTTTAAACAAAATTATATATACGGTAAACCCTCGAATAATGACGGTAATGTGTCCTCCAATATTGCAGTGTAAGGTGAATCATCGTATCGCCATTAAAATAAAGCAATAATAATGAGATGCACTCCCTAGTGTGACCTTTTCATATCTTTTGTGTGGCTTTTTACCCTCTTTTCCCCAAAAACAATACAATTAATGAAAATTGCAAACTATATTCCTTAAATAATGTTTCTGAATCCACCTTATACAATATAAATGAATAATAATACGGTCACACAAGAGGAGATGAGACGCCATTGTTTTCGTTTGTGTTTACAGCCGGGAGTCCAGGACGATACAGTAGTTCTACATGAGAAAAATTAAGAAAATAAGACCCTGGATGTAGCTGTAGTAAAATTAATGTAAAAAATTAATACAGTATATATGTTTTAAGTAATGTTATTTAATGTTAATAAATGGAACAATAGAAGTAGCTAACCACTAATGGCAAAGAAAAAAGTGAAATGGATTGGGAACGCCAACATATAAGGGTGCATTTAAGGATACCAGTCATTTATCATTTTAAGAATATGTACAAAAGATTCATTATTGTTTATTACTGAATATGCATTTGATTGAATTAATGTTTAGATATGTGAAATGAACAATGCAATTCATTAACAATACGTAGAATATTAACACACACAAGGAGACAAGATGGCATTGTTTTCGTGAGTGACGATGGTTCTACATAAGAAACTGAAGAAAATAAGACCCTGGTTGTAGCTGTAGTGAACTTAGTGTAACAAAAATGAATACCAGTGTGTATGTTTTAAGTAATGTTATTTAATGTTAATAAATGGAGCACTAGAAGTAGCCAATCACTAATAGTAAACAAATAAAGCGAGACGATTGGGAACGCCAACGTATGTACAGTAAGTGCGTACATGTGAAAACATATACAGTACTGTACTGTACTGTACATGATGGGTTATATTAGTCTTGTTGCACACATACATTGTAAAAAAGCAGAGTGACAATGATGCAAACAAACAACTGATTCTTCTCAGTCAGATTATGTATGGATTTGGGATTAGGGATGGTGAGCCTTCACCCATGTCTAGCTGATGATCGTGATAAATTCCTCATTTTTACCACGGGCTCCAAGACTTACTCCCCCCATCAAATTGGTAATGAAATGTACTTGAAAGTTTAAGCATTGTTGTTGTTGTTTATATAATACTTTATACATGATATAAACTACGCCAGTATAGTTTGTTTATATGTTCTCATGTACCATATATGGCTGGCCATAAAGGTCTTTTCCTTCGATCCTTCACCCTCTGTTTCCTTCATGTCGTCAAACAAGGATCTGGCCTTATGCTAGATAGCCATAAGACTCACAGGGGCATTGCGTTGATTCTTGTCCTCCATCCACATTGCCAGCATCTTTTCCACCCTCTCTATCACAGTGCTTCTAGTACGAGTCGTCTTAATAGCACTCAGAGAAGAACCACTTTCCGCTCTAACCTTAATCTTGTCAGCGTTGGTCCGAATAGTACACACTGTTGTGGGGGTTAGACCAAGCACAGTGGCTATGTCCACAGCACGTTCCCCTTTTTCAAATCGGGTTAATACATCCATTTTCGTAGCAAGGGTAATGGTCTTAAGTTGCCTCTTCACTACACTAGCATCAGTAGCACTTGATGGGCGCTTGGAAGCCATTTCGATTGGTTAGAGTAGAGTATTTAGAGCAAAAGCACTTAAGCACACACGAATGATGTGAAGTCGTAACAGAGACTGGCTTGGCGTCGCTTTGGGGACGCTGTGACATTCCGCGAGTGAGGGCAGAGCGCCGAGCCGAGAGAGTGTAGCGCGGCCAGACAAGAGCGGGTGATGCGCTGTAGGAAGTACAGTAGTCTGTGACGATGCAAAACGACGTAGTATCAGATCACCGGGACGTTAAACAAATTTTTGGTCTCTTAAGTTCAGTGATGTAGTACCGAAGCAACGTTAAGCGGGACGACGTCAAGCGATGACTTACTGTAATTACAAATTAAGAATGACTAAGCTTCAAGTAACAGAATTGGCTTAACACAAATAAACATAACATAACATAAGATTATGAGAGAACTTCAAGCAATATAAAATCTAGAGCACTTAACCAACTAAGCATAACACATCAAGGAACAAGTTAATTTAAGATGGCTTTGGAGACATTTTGTTTGCAGTATTATTGTGTGTTGCCTGCTACAATTTTTCTTGTCAAGTTCTTTTCTGACAACTTTTAAGGAGGAGAAGCAGAATGTAGCTCCAGTTAAGCCAGTGGAGGAGGAGGAAGAACCTCTTGAGTGGGAAGAAGATGGTGAGCCTTTACCACCCATGTCTCTAGCTGATGAGCGTGATAAATTCCTCATTTTTACCACGGGCTCCAAGACTTACTCCCCCCATCAAATTGGTAATGAAATGTACTTGAAAGTTTAAGCATTGTTGTTCATGTTTATATAATACTTTATACATGATATAAACTATGCCAGTATAGTTTGTTTATATGTTCTCATGCACCATGTACATTATACAGTCCAGTAGATCAATATCAAAATGTACTTATTTCAGGGTTGAGTACAGGCGACCACTTTTTTTATTAACACTAATATTGCTGTGTATTTTATGATGGATACTGAACTATTCTAATTGCATGCATAAGTGGGAAGTGTAGCTTAGGATGATTTTGGGGAAGGACTTACGCTGGAGGAGTGATGCTGGCTTGTGTGAAGCTACAGCTAAGACCATTGAAGGACTGATGTTACTTGTATGAAGGAATAGATGATGTTGGATGAAGGAGAATATTCATGTTTTGTATTTTATTGTTTCCTGCTAACCTGCTGCAACAGAAAAAAAGATTCAATGGTGTAAAAAATAAAAATTTTGAACTAGTAATAAATTTATGTCTGGCTACTGTATTTACACAGCAAGTAATAGAAAAGTACTAGCACTTAAGAAAAATAATTCACTTAAGATTTTAAGTTTAACTTTTTCCACCAGGCAGTTCCTTTTATTGCACAAGCCATTTTGTTGGGTCCTATTAAATAGCATCTGGAGCAAACATGGGGTAATTATAATCTGTAATTGATTACAGTTTTTGAAGTAATTGTAGTCGATTTCATTTTTATTTTTGGTAAATTAATTGTAGTATAATTACTTACATTCAAAATGTAATCATAATCACGATTACTTTTTTATTACAATAGTAAGTACATACTGATCCTTCATTTCCTTTTCTTACAATACCGAGCTCATGATTTTCAATGCAGTCATCTACATTCGGTCCTTTACATGACTCGGCAAACATTCAGCATCCATTTTATGTCTATAAACTATCTTTGGTATAATGGACACAGTATGTTTCAAAACCTTTGAGGTCTATTTCTTGTCTAATAAAAAATTAATGTTAAATTTAAAATTAAATATTATAGTACAGGTATAGTACTGTGTGTTGTTCTGATAATCTACATTTTCTGTCTCGGGTATATCTGAGTACACAGTATACCATACATTTAATTTTATGAGAGTACTAAATTACTATCCTTTTATAAGCATTTGTGTTAATAATATTCCAAACTTCAGAACACTTCAGAGTTATTTAGGTCAGATAACTTTCTGTATTTATAATTAGTACCATATTAATCTTATGAAAATTTAGGTCCATCTATTAAAGATTTTGATTTTTTTTTCTTGTCTATTAAATGCTTGCACCATTATGTATAATGCATTATGTCTACCTTTTCATCTCTTAGAAAATATGGTTTAATTGTACCAGGTTGACAAACAGTACAGTAAATTGAGTTTTTGTAGTATACATACGTTAGTTTATTTATGCACATTCCTTTTGAAGTAATCATGATTACGCATCATGTAATCATAATCGTAATTGATTACATCCATTTTTACTGTAATCTTAATCATAAAATTACCATGTAATCAATTACATTACCGATGTAATCGCCCCTTGTCTGATCTCGAGCTGGTCTAATGGTTGGTTATTCATCCTTCCCCTTCACAGCTGTCACCTTTAAAAGGATGACTTGGAAGCTCAGGTTACCATTTACTGGCAGGATGTCTATAAATCAAGAATTTATCCTGTGAATGTCATTTTTAGCAGTAAGGATAAGGAGCCTTGGAACACCCCACCCTCCCTCTCTGTCTCCTCAAGGATTTATTGTGGAGATCATGAACTAAATCTTGTTTACTGGAAATCCAAGATGGTCAATGACAAACATAGGAGGACTACAATGGACAAGCTGCTGTAGTGCCAAGACTCATTTGGCTGTCAACATTGAATAATGACCTTCACCTCCTTGACCTTTCTTGGAGGGCTAGGATTGTGATAGAGTTGTGCTTATTACATGAGTACAACTCCTCCCCGACTTACGACGGGGTTATGGACCCAAATCCAGGTTGTAAGTCGAAATGGTCGTAAGTCGAAAATTATTAAATAATACTGTACATAGAAAATCTAAAATGGGCGTCTCTTTTTCTTCTCAGCACCACATAACTCTCACTTTTAAGCTTGCCAGCCATTTTAAAGTGAATTACAAACGAAAATTTTGTCTGTGTACTGACGTTGGGACTCGAAAATACGTAATTTGACAAAATTTTGGTACGACTGAGGCAGGTCGTAAGTGCGGGTGGTCGTAAGTCGAGTAGGTCGTATGTCGGGGAGGAGCTGTATTGCCAATCATCGGTGCCTGTAACCTTTTGATTTGCTGGGAAAACACACAAGCATCTATGTCTCAACTCTGCTATAAAATGATATTCCCAAGATGTATCCTGCTATAGAAGGTAACCTTAGCTTCCAGTCCACCCTTTTAAGAGAGTTAGTTGTGAATGGGAGTGATGGATAAGCATAAGAGCAGCTTCCAGCTTCCCTAATATGGTTTGGCATCAACAGGATTCACCTGGCTACAGGCTTGAGAATAGGTATTTAAGATCAGTCCTCTATCAACAGATAATTGAGTTGAAACTACTGTACTAAGATGGTGGTGAGTTGTATATACTGTACGCATAGTAATTCTTGTGGTTGTGTGAGAATAGTTATCTTTAGAATTTTGAATATGTACAGTAATATCTCTTTTAGCCGGAATCCCTCAAACTCGGAACTCTCCGATAGCCGGAATTTAAATTTTCTTGGAAAATCATTCCCAAAGCCGGAATTTTCCGGAAAATACGGCTTTGGGAACGATTTTCCGAGGGGCACATTTTCCGGAAAATTTTCCCGATACCCGGAAAATTCCGGGGATGGGGGAGTTTTTTCTGGGTTTGAGAGATGAAAATCAGGTGCATTTTGTGGAAATTCCACAAAAAATTTTCCGTTACCCGGAAAATTCCGGGGATGAGGGATATTTTTCTGGGTTCAAGAGATGGTGTAATGGGCAATTTCTGGAACTTCTGAGAACATTTTCCGTCACCTGGAAAATTCTGGGGATGAGGGACTTTTTTCCGGCTTTGAGAGAGTCGTCTCTACCCAAAAATCTCTCCTTCCCGGAAGTGCTTTGTACCAATAGTTCCGGCTAACGGGGATACCACTGTAATTGCTAATGGTAAAGGGAGGGATAGGGAGGGGCCTAGTTGAAAGTTGCTCTTATAAGCATCACATAATTATTAAAATAATGATAACAATAAAAAAAAAGATTGTATAAACTACATAGTAATATCTAGTGGAGGGAGTTGGGTATCAGTTTGATAACAGCCATATCAACATACAAACTAGTAAAGCAGTTAGAACTATAGTCAGTTTGTGATGTTCTTTATTTCTAACCAATATGCACTGCTGTAGGAAAACCCTTGCAAGTGTTAAAAAGAGATGTTTTAAAAGTGTTTGATGTGAAATATATTTAAGGGAGGTTATGTCTGTAGTTTGCATGTTGTTGGATTAAAGTCTCCTCTCAATCTACTACTTTGCATTGAATTTTTTTCTTCAGGTTTTAAGAGAATAAAGAAGTTTTCAATACCCACTGTACTGGAGGTTGGTCCGTGTCTGCGGGAGAGAATTCAGCAGAGGGATCAGCAGAGAGAGTTACGGAACCTTGGCCTATTTCAAGAACCCAATTGGTATGTACACTTTTACTTTGGGTCGGGAGTCAAGCACTGTATCTACTTGTCTGCCTCTCAGAGTGGCCACAACATTGTTTTTATAAGATATTGTTTAGATATAAAATATCAATTATGTTTGCCAAGTATTACAAGTGTTGCTAACTTTAATAGTGTTAGATATTTCCGATCATATGTTGAATGTACTGTACTGTATACTGAAAAAATGTACGTATCTTTTCAGGCTTGACTATGACTCGGTTGCAGAGAGATTCGATCCTATTGACCACTTAATTGACTTGAATGGACATATCATAGGCATGGGGCTCTCTCCTGATCACAGGTGCAGTATATTTAATGGGATGTTTAGAATACTTTACTAATACTTAAGATGATTAGTTTCCCGATACAGTAATTGTATTTTTTTTTCTTTTTTTTACTGGGATTAGCCCACCCTGGCACAGGTCACTAACCCACATCGGGGCCTGGAGGGCGAAAATGTAAATATAATAATACTAATATTAATAATAATTAGTTCATAGTAAATAAAATTGATACTGTAATAAAAAAATACAAAATTAAAAATAAAATAATAATAACAACACTGATAATAATAATAATAATAATAATAATAATAATAATAATAATAATAATAATAATAATAATAAAGAACCGTAAAGAAATACAAAAATGGTAAAAAAATTAAATAGTGAGAAACGATATACAGTACAATATGTATGTTGTGTTGTCAAAGTAAGAGAAACAATTGAGACCCTGCAATTGTGTATAAATGAGGCAGAAAGTCAGATCAGCAACCTGGGACTTGGTCACAATTTTTGTGATGCCATATGGCAGCAGGGTCTACCATTAGGCAACACATTATGCTTCCAATATCTTCCCAGGTCGTAGTACTTCCCTGTTTGGTAGCTGCCTACTACCCACTGCACCCTCCTCCCCCTCAACAAGAGATCACTACACGTACGTGTATATGTAGTTCATGAAACACAAGTCAATTTGTGGCATGATGGATGACTCATTAATGAGTAATAAGGTATAAAATCAAGAGATTTTTCAGGGAACTTTTTTAATATACCTGTACGTACGTATACAGTATTTATGAAAAATACAAATAATGATGGACCATCCAGCTTCTTGCAATTTCTAAATCTATTAATTTCTAATTTCCATTCATTTTCATTAATGTATTTTATAAATTTCAAGAAAAGGGCCATAGCTATTAATACCAATACAGCGATACACACCTCCAACATTTATTATTACTGTATATATTCTCGTATGATCAGCCACTTCTGGTGTATGTTTTATCATTGATAATATAAAATATTAAATACTGTGCTATAACATCTTGATAAAATCAAACAGGAAATAGGGGAAACAATGGAGCACCTTAGCTTTCGTCTTTATTCAAGACATCTTCAGAGGCAACTGAATTACTAGGACTGAGATTGAGAGAGGCTTAAGTACACAGGGTGACCTTATAAAACATGAGGTCAGGTCAAACACATGACATCCATTAATCCACACACCACCACCATCGCAATCATAAGAGGAGCTTATAAGAATGGGCGATGTAACTAGTCATGTCAAGTCAAGTCAAAGATATGAGATCCACTAATCATCTATCCTACATCTATCCCAAATGCTGTCAAAGCATTTTTAACCTTGGGCCACTGACAAATAAATTTGTGTAACATTATCAGTTTTGTACCGACCATCACTAAGGTTTATAGAATTCATTTCCCTCATCAAATGTGCTTCAACCAGAAGTCTTTTTGTGACACATGATGATTTATACACTTCTAAACTGTTTTCCCAATCTATGGGATGATTATTGTTCCTTATATGAATTGTACTATAACATGTATAGAAAAATGACGAAATATTGCGTCACGCTCCCGGGTCCTCTTGTGTTGGAGGTTTGGGGAGGGAGGGAACTGACTGCACACCCCTCAAAGAGGTTCCTCCCTCTCCCCTACTCCTCTCCATGCCTACCATGTTTTATTATTATTATTATTTTTTTAATTAATAAAGATATGTTTACTGTAATAATTTGTGCTTAATTTGTTTAATATTTTATATTAACCATGATAAAACATACACCATAAGAGGCCCATCATTGGTTAAAGGAGGAGTACCAGCCTCCTTGCCTCCCCCCTGCCTCCACCTTGCCTCCCTCCAACTCAGTGTCTCACACAAAAAAATGTAAACTAGATGTTGTGTGTGTATATGATGTGGTGTTGGGGTATTAATTAATGAATAATAAATAAACAATATTGTATTGTTAATGATAGTACAGTAGTTTGATGAATAGTAGTGACAATTGTAGTGCACTACTATTCATCAAACGACTGTCATTGACGATACAATATTGCTTATTTATTAATTAATACCACACCCAGACACCCTAACACCACCCACACACCCCCATATTGTATGATATAAATTTATGCATGGTTAACTACATGGTGGTGAATTAAAAGATCAGCTGTTGAGGAGCTTATTGCTTGACAACACTGGTGCATGTTACCACTCCTTCCACTCCATCTCTCTAATCACCCACAGCTTTCAGCTTTCTCACTCCACATTTTAAAATCTTATGTAATGTATTGTTGAAGGGATATAATGTGATAAGGGTAAGTATAAAAAATACTGTATTTTAGCTTTCATGTTTATTCAAGACATCTTCAGGTCCTCAGACCCACTAATCCCCTACCTGACAACGGGTGATCTGACATTGTATCAGAAGGTCAGTAATATGAGATCACTGATACCCCACCCTACCTCCACCTGACATTGTGTCAGGGCAGGTCAGTTACACAAGACCCACAAATCCCCCACAGTTCCAAGGGAGTGGAAAATACCAGTCCTTGCTGTAACACACAGCTTCATTCACAACCATATCATATAGATTTTTAGTTTAGACTCTTGGAAAACTCCCTAGCACACAGAAATATTCTGAGGATGTGGTCTAGTGTATGTCTGTGCAAGATGCATAGTTTAGGCACTCGGAAAGTTTTTTCCAGTAACCAGAAATATTTCCGGGGATGGGGGAATTTTTCGGGTTTGAGAAAGCCGTCCGGTTAGCAGGAAATCTCTCATCCCCGGAAGTGCTCTGCACCAATTGTTCCGGCTAACGGGGATATCACTGTATTGGAGAAAATCTGTGGTGTTTGGTAGATTCACAGTGGAAACCACTGTTTTCACATCCAATCCAAGCTGAACTTGAACTAGGGTTGCAGTGAAGAGAGACAAGTGTGTTATTGTTGTATCACCATCTTCCCAAGATTATGCTAAAAGAGTGATTGTGGACTGGGTATGATGGAATTATATCATATTGTAGATACTATACTGTACTTGATGGGTCAGTATATTAAATAAACCAGATTACAACTTAGTATGCCCAATATAGAGGTTGAGTTTCATTTTGTATACTGCTTGTGCATGTTGAGAATGTTAGGAAGTGTGTATGGAGTATTTTTTTATTGTTGTTTCAGCCTATACTTGTGCCCCATCTCTCCCTTATCATGTTCCCCCTTTCTTGAGGTATCTGTTTTCCTTGACCCATCCCACACACAAGTGGGAGTAGCTTAGAAATAGTAAATTGATAGTTAGATAGATATACATATTCCTAATCCTTCCTTTGATGTTGACCTTTTATTTTTAAAGTTAATTACAATATGAATCAATCTATAAATAATCCCATCAGTCAAGGAAATTTAAGCATTGACCTGTCCCTGTCTTTTATCACCAGGTACCTCTATGTCAACAGTAGGCCATGGCAAGCTAATTGTGTCATTGATAGTCCACTAAGCCCACCACGTATTGCTGAGGGAATAGATCTCCACGTAATTGATCTCACTAACTTAACAGAGGTAAATATTCTATCAGAGAATGAGATGTTTTCTCTAGGAGTTAAGGTAATTTTAATCTTTTTTTTTTTACTACAAACCCAAATCTTGTTTTTAATTCATTGTTGGATGTGGTATGCATGCACTTGTTTCTGTTTATGGTGATGGAGGAGGTGAATACATGGTATTGTAGTGTGTAATAACCTTTGTATAACTCTGCCTTGTTGAAATGCAGTTACAAAATTTACTTTGTTGACAATCCTTCAGGTAACATTTAAGGGAATCTATCATTTGTAGTGTCCTGATGTAAGGGATCTGTTAAGCATTGAATAAACTTTATCATATTAGATTATAGTTAACGTTTTCTAGTAAAAGGTTAGGTAGGTTTCTTTGATTGATTAGTTCTATATGTCTCTTTGACATTTTCTCATAAATGGGGATTTTCCAAAGAAAATTAAGGTCAGATTTAAACAAAGTATACCAAAATACACCAGAAAAATTTATTTCCTTGTAAAAAACAAAAGGAATGTTAAAATGAATCATTACCTAATTTACTCACAAAGCACTATCAAACTTTTTTCTTTTTTTTACACATGTCAGCAAACTTGCCATTTGGGTGGTTGATCTGTATTTTGTTACCTTGTTATTAACTTTATTGTTCAATGTTAGTGCAAAAGGAAACTGGAGTATCCTGAGAAAATTGCAGTGTTTGGTAGGGTTACACTGAATGACCAAATTCCCATGTTTGTCCTAGGCCAGAACTCGAACATAGGAGTCTAGGGCATTGTAGTGAGAGATACAGTGCAATCATAACTGCTTTACCACCAACAGTAAATGAAGAGTTACTCATGTAAGGGAGGTGCAGGAATATCTGAGCACAGTACAATACAGTACAGTATAATTTTGTACTTAATACAAAATTACTTGATATAACTTGATACAATCACTAAATAAAAGTTGGGCAGTAAGTCCAGATCTATACATTCCAGTTCACAAACCAGGTAACAGAGCAGCTGGGTTGCTTACTATGAAAGTTGTGGTAGCAGCCATCAGAGGGGAGAATGGCATGAGTTTCAACCAAATATTTTTGTTATTGCTGTGAATGAAACTTGAACTAACTCTAAGGTGGAATAGAAGTGTAATTTGACAAAGTTAAATAAGGCAACCAACGGGCTTAGAACTTATACTGTGGGGTGGGAATGTACAATACAGTATAGTACATGTTTTATTATACCAACTACTGTACCATTTCAACCAAACACTACTAAAGTATTAACAAGATAAATTTATTTGTCTGTAGTGTAGATTACATAGTTCACAACCATATAATGTAATTTTAAGTGTTGCATTATTGTATCGTCAGCTCAGCCATTCACATAGTGCATACATTATGTACCTACTGATGTGCTGTACAGAACTGCACAGTACAGTATTTATACTTTATTTATGTGCACTTGAATATTTTTAAGTGTTTTTCTGTACAGGAAACATCAAATCAATGTTTTTATCTAATGTTTTATCTTATTTCCATCACTTGTGTTAGGGGTTGACCACTACAGATAAAATATGATGTAAATGACAAGACTATACAGTAGATCCATTTATTGCCCACAATATGCTTTATTCATAAATGATAGATTCATGAAAGGTGAGATAATTTCTGTATGTACTTTTCTTTTTTCTTTTTTTTCTTTTCTTTTTTTGTCATTTAGCAGTTTATGATATTTAGGTACTCTACTCATTCCAGTAATTTTCTTTTCTTCTAGGTAGGGACAATGTTACGGTCCCATAAAGCTTATACCCCTAATGACGAATGCTTCTTTATCTTCCTTGATGTTTCTCACCAGTATGTAGCAAGGTGGGTAAATAGTACAGTATTAACATTGAGTTAATTCAATGCCACAAAATGAAATGTAAAATAAGTGACATACAGTACAGTACAATACAGTACTATAAATAATTCATTTGAAGTTCAGGGTAACTGGTGGGTAACAATGAAATGCTATTAGCCATTACTGTAGAGCTGTCAGTTAATTTTCTTGGTAAGGATTAAGGACTTTTGTATTTGTTGCAGTTTGAGAAAGAAGTGATTCTTTATTGCAGGAAAATGGAAACTTGTTCAATATTAATATTATAGATCATTCAAGCTGTGTCTTGTAGTTGTACTGTACTGTTCATTTAATTTCCAACCACTTTACAAAAGCAGACCATAGCATTCTGTGGAAAAAAAAACACACACACACATATATATATATATATATATATATATATATATATATATATATATATATTGTTGAGCTAATAGGAGGGACAGGTATATATATAGATATAGATCATGTGTATGATCTACACGACAAATGATCTTTATGGTTTTGGGATTTTTTTTTTTTTTTTTATGTTCTTAATAAATTTTTCTCAGGAAAACAAATAGCTTAGAAACAATGTACAAACATGCTAATATAAGGATACAGTTTGGTAAAAAAGGATGACAAACTTTTTAATTCCCCATTAACCCTTCAGTTTACACTTCACAGACTTATAGTTTAAAGGATTTCCAGAATGTAACTCCCATGAATAGTGTAAGAAATATGGTTTTGAATTTTATATGTAGATTCTTCCCCACAGTGGTGCCGAGGATAGACACGGTTATGTCTGGGAACGTCACTATGGAGTCTGTCTGTCTCGCTTGCCCCATAGAGATGTTGTCAATGCTGTTGCCTTCAATCCTAGAGACCCTGAAATGCTTGTTACTGTTAGTGATGACCACAGAATCAAGGTAAGCGTATTGTAATTATTACTTTGTGTGTGTGCGTGCGTGTGTGCATGTGCGGAACAGTAATTCCCAAGTTTGTGAGGGAATTTACTTATACGTTCTTGTAATGAGGCAGTTCTCATGGCTGCTAGGGGACATTATGCATCAGAAATCAGCTTGGTGTACTTTGATAATACAGTACTTCCCTTCCCTTTCCTATGTAGTGTTGGCCTTAAATGAGAGGGGCATAATACAGTGCATTGGTGGTCAGCACTCAGCAAACCAAGGCCAGTGTCTGCCAGTTTGAATCAAAGGGAATCCAAACCAAACAACCCCATTTTCTTCTTAGTTTGTGTTAGGCAATCCAGGAGGTCATCCCCAGCTTATTTACTGTACTCTCTCTCAATCTATTTTTCTGATAAGGATAAGTTTCAGCCCTATTTCAGAGACTTCATGGATCTATTGGGCCAAGCATTATTATGTAGTAGTTAAGATAGATATTTGTTCTAGCATACATCATTTTGAAAGGTTTTCTCTCTTGAATAAACTATGTCCAGAGCCTCTTCCTGTTCTTGTACTCACTCTGTCCCAGGACTTGAGTAGAGAGACAACTTACTGTCCTAATTCTCATGTTTATAAAGTTCATGTTTGGATCTTCTAAGATCATTTTGTTTTCCTTTGTCTTTAAGAAGATTAGGTTAGTTTCAAGTAAGGTGATGGTTCACTAGCGTTTTGTCAGTGATGGAAGGAAGCCACCTTAGGTCCCCTCTGCTTATGGGTGCATATTAGTTTCTCCCTGACCTGCATTGTTTACCTTCCATCATCAGTCAGGGTGTATGTTGTTCACCTTTTGGGGCTATGGATTCCTAAGGCTGCTCTAGCTCACTATTCATAATACTGGAACACAGATCTGTACAGAGCAGAATTAGGGAGTGTTGGATTCCTGAAGTTGTGAATACTGTACAGTGTGACATATCTCTCTCTCTCTCTCTCTCTCTCTCTCTCTCTCTCAGTGGATTAATGCCATAAATAATAGAGAATTAATCTTGAAATACCCTCTTCTGATAGATTGACTCTGTAGACAAGTAGCTTGGAAACCCTCCTTCATTCCTGTGATGTGATGACTTAAAATAGGGAGTTTGGATTGGCTTCACTCATATACAAAATATCAACCAGTGGCCTTGATGTGTTTAGAGTGCTGGTTGGGTCCCCATAGCTCTAAGGAACACAGTTCATGAGAAGGGAAGGGAGTTAATTTATCCAGGAGTACGTAATTACAGATTAACCAAAGCTGACAGTGTGGGAGGCTGGTCTCGGGGACATAACACCCTGAAGAAGTTGCTTTGTACAGGGATATTACAAAAGTTGCCTAGCTGTGGGCTCCTTTTGAAAAAGGTATTGCAGGATCACTCCTCCAATTTTACTATCAAGGTTTCAACTAATTTTTTTCTCCTCAGGTATGGAGGTCACGAAGGAGAGCACGGTCATTAGGGATAAATTTGAAAGAAGTAGAAATGGCAAAAGAACTTCGAATAAAACATCCCAGGCCCGACCCACCGCCTCCAGTTGTGGATATACAAAGTAATTACTGAAATTGTAAGTACTATTTTTTTCTTCCTTTTATATGTAAATTTGTTTTCCTTTTTATTTATTTTTTCTCATTTAATTCCTGCAATTTCTTTACTGCTATGGTGCATGCTGAGCAATCAACAGCAACACACAGTCTCCTAACACTTGCTGTCATTCACTTTCTCTCAGCTGCCTTGCCAGATGTGTATTTTATTAAGTTTGTACAGTAGAGCGTCGATTAAAAGCGATTCAATTTAAAATTATTTATTTAAAGCGACACCCTATTTTACGCGAGTCATTCTGGTGCATCATATGGAAATACACACTATTTTAAAATTTGTGTCTAATGTTTACCACCAGACGCGTCTGGGCACGCTACATGGCTGCCCACCACCCTCTCACACCCACTTGCATCCTCAGTTCTCGCACTGACGCTCTAGTGAACGGACATATTTTGTGACACTATCTCCTTCTACCACGTGCATCAACCATCGCCACTATATCCAAGAGGCCAGCTACTACTGTACATCATTAACTACCCCAAAGACCAAGAAATCAAGGCAAGCAATTACACTGGAATCAGAAAATCAAAGTGCTGGAAGTACAGCAGTGAGGAAATGGTGCTTCAAGTATGGGGCACCAATTTGGGCAGTGATGTGGATGATGAGCTGGTCGAGTTGGGCTCTGCATCTTCAGAGGATGAATTGCCTAACTAAATTTGAGTGAAAATCTATTTTAGATAGCATAAAGTAATTAAATAATAAGTTGAGAGGAAAGTGAAATTGCTTGGTGAGTCGGACGAGAGGCGGGTGGTGCGCGGCGCCAGCGTGACCACCCTCTCACATCAGCTGATCGCTAGTAAACAGACCATTTGGCGTCCCGTAATTTTGGTTGTGTTGATTTATGAGTGTTTGTTTTAGCTTAATACAACAAAAAACAATATTTTGTTTATTCTAGGAGATGGGCTGAGGTGCATCTTGGTAGACTCTCAGTCTTTTTAGTATTTTGTGTTTCTCTCAAGTACCAAACTAAATTATTCCATTGAAACAACACTTCGATTTAGTGCGAATTCGGTTTAAAGCGACCTCTCTTGGAACCTATCTCCTGTTATATCGACGTTCTACTGTGTTATTGTTGTTATTATTATTTTTATTTTATTTATTTATTTATTTTTTTGGGGGGGGTAGCTTTTTGCTATGAGCAGGAAGAATGTGGCATTTGGGGGGGGGGTGAGTTTGCCCTTAATGGGTCCAAAAAGAAATCTGAGTAGATTTTAAAAATATACAGATCAGAAGTGAAAAAATGTTAGGGTAAGTAAATGACACTGTTAATACTGTTAATGACATTACATGTACAGTATACTACTATCAAGTACTATGAGTTTAGTAGTCTACGAGTCTGTGACACAGAACAAAAGGGTTAGATAATTATTAATATATATTTTTCATTCATCTTTAACCTTTATTTATGACACCGATGGGTATTTGGATGAGGTTTTTGTCAGACAATTAGCAACCATCAGTACATTTTACCGTATTTCAAATTTATTCCCAATGTATTTTCCATCGGTTACATCAATGGTAAAATGAAATATCTAAGTCATTTGAAACAAATAATTTCTTATTTTTTAGATCTTACTTTTGAATTTACAGTTATGAATTTATGATTGATCTGGTAATGCTGCAATCCTATAAGGGGTAGTTGTAAGAAAGAGACAACTGGGGGTATGCTGTGCTTTCCTTGTTCAAATCTCTAGCAAAAGGAATTCTACTCAATGATGACAACAAATATTATTGATGGGACATTCCAGCATGAGAATGCTTTGTACAGTAATTAAATTAATCTGTGCCCAAATTACATGGATTTGGGAAAAAGTGGGTCAATATAAAGTAAATTTATAGGTTTCATCTGGCAGTGGCATATCATTTTAACCTGCAAGGAGGTGAAAGAAGCTACTGTAAATTGAATGTTGCATATTCGAGGGACAGATTTTCAGGTGGCAAATGCTCATGTATTTTAAGTTTCAAAAGTTTGGACTCCTATTACTGCAGGTTTTAATTCTCTGACTTAAATAAAAAAAGAGAATGCGATATACTGTACTGTACAATATAGTCATACATTAACTATATACTGTACAATAAAGTCATACATTAACTATATACTGTACTGTACAATAAAGTCATGCATTAACTAAACAAAGAGATATTTTAATTTTGAAGGGAAGAATTTTTATAGGTTAAGCAAGACCTACCTACCTTGCTTCTTAGGAATACACACCACTGTAAGTGTGCATTGTTAATTTCTTAGGGGAATCGCAGTTGGGTTAATGTAGCTAAAGAATTTGTACACCCACCCCTCCCCCTCAAAGAAAAAACTATTGTTTTTCAAGGAAAGAAGACATCTAAATCTAGTTTAAAATAACCTGATCTGTGCTAAATCATGTAAAGTACAGCTTCCATCTTTATCACTTACCATATACAAGCCTGGGTAATGGTGTATAGGTCTTGGCAGTTTTGGCAAGGTGTTCATAATTTCAATGCCTCCCTGGAATTCAGGCAAAAGGTTTCCATGCTGCTTCTTACTTAAGCACTGAGATATTGTCTTGACAGTATTGGTATAAAGAACAGAAGATCTTGTAAAACATGACAGAATATGGACAATATGTGTAGTATATACAGTACTGTTACTCCCAGCCTTTCAGCCTGAATTAAGAGTTTCAAGAATATCAGTAGTGCATTTTTATAACTATAAGCCTGGCACAAGTCTTCAATGAATGGTTATACAAAATGAACAGGTAGAATGAAGAAATGGAGAGTCGAGGCAGCTCTGGTGTATACAACCACAAGCATCATCATCAATGTTTTACAACCAATTTCCACACTTGCATGGGTTAATTATAATTACCTGTTGGCAGCTCTCCATTTTGCATGGCCTCTCTCATCAGAATCTTAATTAATATAGTTTTTTTTTACAACTTCTCCCCATGTTATTCTTAGTCTACTCTTAGCTCTCCACCTGTCCACATATCGGAGGCAAAACGATCTTTGATACTAAGCACTTTATATTTTCAATTTGTGCTACTGCACTCAGTAACTTTTTTTTTTGGAGACATTATAAGGGCAGCACACCCAGTTAGAATCCACAGTGCCTACTGAGTGACAAAAGAAAGCTGTGGACAGTACAAGTGCTAGCCAGGCTTGATTGCCTGTCACTGACTACCTCAGAGTATAGAAAACAAGTCTACACGTACACTAGCCCAGCTATCCATTCAGACAAAGAATGACTAGCCCGTCCTAGCAAATGATATTGCTAGTTGGTTTATTTTTAATTTTGCTCGTTAAATTGAAAATAAGCCCATACATTGACGTCTCATACTTTAAAACTTTATGCTTGTGAAACAGAATTCTCATTCATTTGTTACTCTGTTCAACAGGACTTTAATGGTTCTATACAGTTGTAATATATGAAAGTGTCACATATGTCAACACCACGCACTGACGCTTCATTTAGTTCATCCATTTTTTAAGCTTTTCTTTCAATGTGGGCCTCTTTTTCGTGTCATTTATCCTCTCTGAAGACTTGGTTGACAGTGAAGAAAAATGTGAGGGCATTTAGTTTAAAATAAAGGTTTGATTCTGAAATCCTGTTTTCTAGTTGAGCCCATAGCCAGGCAGCTTGTTTAACCTTACTCCTCCCTTGTATTGTTGGTTAGTCAGCTAAAACTGAAAGCAAAATGGCAGATTGGCCATGAAATTAAGTTGCTGGTCAGTTGAGTAGCCCAAGTGGTGATGACTAGGTAGCTCTGTTCTAATTGGGCCTCTTTGTTTCTAGTGGACAACGTTTGCTTCTTATATTCCTCTAGTGAGGGAGATTGTTTTATCTGGGAGATATGGGCAGCAGTTGTAAGAGCAGCCCTCAGTTGTCAAAGGGTGCAGTATGATGGCCAACACCCTAATATTGGCTAGCCCAGTAACACATTACCTGGCTATGGGCTCTTTTTATAAAACATGTTTTCAGGATCAGTCACCCATTTTCTAGAATAATCTGGTTGGTTGATTATATATATATATATATATATATATATATATATATATATATATATATATATATATATATATATATATATATATATATATATATATATATATATATATATATATATATATATATATATATATATATATATATATATATATATATATATATATATATATATATATATATATATATATATATATATATATATATATATATATATACAGCTGAGCCTATTATATTTCAGTGTAATGATCTACCAGTGCATCACAAATGAAAAATTATTAAGTATTCAAGCCTGGAAATACCTTTGGAAAGATATCTGTGCATTCGAACCTCCGAAGACCTACAGAGACCTACTGTATCTGTACAGTACACTCAAGCCTGTAAGACTCTACAGAAAACTTTCTATACACTACAGCCTACGAAGACCTACAAGAAGATTTATTTGTTTTAGAGCTTGTTAAGATCTCTGAAAAATTTTCTATGCACTGAAGTATGAGAAGAACTTTCGAATTTCTTTTCTGTACAGTACAGTATTGGAGCTTGTGAAGACCTTCAAAAACATTTCTACACACTCAAGCACATGAAGACCTCCGAATGGCACAAGGGCTTATTGTTTTGCAGGTTTGATACTCATTTTTAGTGAGACAGTAACTTCATTGCTTTAATGAATGTGGACTTTCATTATTGAATACTGTACTGAATCAGTATACTGTAATTAAGAATTGTGTGAATACATGTACATTCTGGTTGGCAGCTTTTAAATGTAATGTAATGCAATGCATTATCATGAACACTGTGATATTATTATTGATAATACAAAACTTGATTTTGCTTCAGCTCATAAGCTTTATGCATTAATTTTTTTATTGAGTTGTGTCAGTATCAGGTTATCAAGTAATTAGATTGTACAGTACAGTATATTGAAGCTATTAGATACTGCAGTAGAAATGTTTTATTTATTTTTCATATATTCATACATATAATGATGTCCTCCTGGTATTACAGTGTAACATACAGTTAGTTTTCTTGTTTGTGTGACTGTAGGGTTTTGAATACTTTTTTACATGGATCAGTAAGTGTTAGCTTGCTAGTATTTAGTTCTTTTGGAAGTGAACTTAAATTGTGAGATTAAAAAAAATACGGAAAGTGAGAGGTTCAGCCTTTTTTTTTTAAGCTTTTCCTTTACTTATGTAGGATAAATGGTCATGAAAATTTATCACACCAAAACTCAGCCAATAAAAGTATCCTCATTGATTATGTACAGTACCTGTGTTTAATATTTTGTTATTTATTAATGGCGCTAGTGACACTGAGGACTCCCTGGCACTTAAATTTAGGCATTGTTGAAGTAACATTATCCCTTCTGGTGTAGAGACCACAGGGGTCATAAGATATTTAAGCATGTGGGTTTATCCTGTAGGAATTTTTAATGTCGTGGTAAACATTTGTTCACCAGACTTTAAAAGTCCTTAACTCATTGAAATTATTACTGTATCTGTATTTACAGGTAGCCCACGGTTTATGATACAGCATTTTGGTTTTACAGTTATACAAAATGTCTTCTTTTTTTTCTCTTTCTTTTAATTAATGTTTTTGGGGATGGAAAACATTTATGAATGTTACATATGATCCAAGCAGTTTGATTGACTATCACATATCACAACATTATTGTTAACGAGCCAGTGGAGTCTTTCAAATCTAGTTCCATGCTTCAACAGAACTCTCCAGCAGTTTCTTGTGTTTTCCAAGTGATTTACCCTTTTACAGATATCAGGAAAGTGACTAGCAGATGAGACCCCACAAAGCCATCACTTTAGATGTTAAGTTGGAGATGATAAGGCACATTGATGAGCCTGGCAAAAAGATGATAGTCATTAGTAGAGTTTTAAAAGTATATTATCTCGGTTAATTATGGCAACCATTAACAAATTACAGTTTTGTATTTCTTTAAATTGTTGGAGATGTATACTGCACAGTACTGCATTTTTAATTAATATTAATGCAAATATTTAAGTTGTTTTTGCAAAGTGTTATCTTAATACATGATGGAGAAGTCACCACCCCCCCCCCCTACATGAGGAACATATCTCGTAATTTATAATGGTATTTCTTAGAGAAATATAATCCAATTTACCATAGGGTTTTCAGAAGCGTAAACCTTTTATAAATCGACGTATACCTGTATTACATTTTGCAGATCTTCTGGTAATATTTTTTATACTGTTTTCATGTTTTAAGAGTACTGTACTGTATTGTACTGTACTGTACTGTACTGTACTGTACTGTACTGTACTGTACTGTACTGTACTGTACTGTACTGTACTGTACTATGCTGTACTATACTATAATATACTATACTATACTATACTATACTATACTATAATCATCATTATCATCATCACTGTTTTGTGGCCAGTTTCCAGGCTTGCATGGCTGGATGCTCTTCCTATTGCCAGGCATTTTTACAGAGTAGGAACTGGCCATTATATGTACGACTTTGAAACTCATTATTGCCTTATTTATTACAATTCATCGTCTTGACAATAAGCACCTTGACTGAAGGGGAGACAATGTGAAACTTTTTGGTTGTTTTTATTTGTTTATATTTTTACTAATAAAACTGCAGAACTTGTCCAATTCTATTCTTTTACATATTTCATATTTTCCAGCATTTGTAATCCATATATGGTCTAATTTAGAATTGGAAACGGAGAATCATGGTTATGACTAGAATAATTACCGTACATTGTAAGTGCAGATGTACTGTATTTGAAATAGCTTGTTTTATGACTGGTATGTTATACTGTAGAGTAGTGTAATGTTGAAATCCTTTACAGATGTATTTTCAAGATTTCAAATGTATCTTTCTTTGTTACCATGTTTTTTATTTTAGAAACGTAAAATTCCTTCTAAGGTACAACCACAAAACTGTTGGTTTCATTCTTGACTGAAGGCCATTGATTTTAATCAAGGGGAAAGAAAAAAAAAGCAATGGCTATGAAGCCCTGAGACCATCACTGAAATTCAAGTTAATATAAGCTACAGAGATTATCGTCTCTGTAGTTGAGAGTACTAGTAAACATATGGGCTTCATCCCAAAACACTGGAAAATAATCTTTTACAGCAGAATCTCAGAATTAAAATTCTGTACACTACCTACAAGTTATGGAAAATAAGAACTTTTGAATAACAGTAAAAAAAATAAAATACTTGCCGGCAACAGATGACCCACTATATTAAAGGTCTTATTGCCCTGGCACTTGATGCAAAATCTTCAGTTGGGTACGGTTTGCTCTCTGGTTCTTTGAACTCGTATTGTATAAAAACACCAGATTCATTTTTTTTAAATATTGTACTGTAATTATGTTTTAAAATACATTGTTACAATTTTATTTATAAAATTTTACAATTTACAGTACTATACAAAAATGTGTTTTTGCTGAACCCTTCACCAAGCATCTCACATAATACTGGGGTCTTTTAGTGGGCCGTAATCTCTCAGACAAGATCTCACAATGTCACTAAGGGGAAATCTGTTAATCCCTCTGGTAATCTAACCGTTGGTTCTCAGAAAATAACTCTTGTAACTCACGTACCTATACGCTCACTATCACGCTACCTAACAGTTTAATGAGGTACCGGGTAAGTTATATTCTAATAAAAGTCTGGGTGGTGGCAGGCTACCGTTGTAAGTATAATAAGTGTTGTGGAAGAATGACATGGTTTTCCCAGACTAATCCATGGTATAGAATATAACTAAGGCAGGATAATAAATTGAGAGAAAGAAAAGATATAAAATCTGGAAAATATTAGAATATATATGACAGAAGAAATAAAGTATCAAAAAGAATATTAACCTAGAAAATATAAGCAAAGAAATATAAGATAGATACTTATAGACCAAAAGACTTAGAAAATAAAATTATTAATATACTGTATAATTAGGTACTCCTGAATGTGCTGCTTAAGGATCTGTTAACCAAAATTTGATATCTTGATTATAACTTGTTCAAATGGCTTTTAGAAAATGTTCAAATGATTTTTAGAATATTTTAATTACTTTTGCAATGCTAATTACTCGCCACTTATGGGTTTTCGAGGTCATTTCTCTGTGCTTGTGTATTATTCTGGATGTACTTAAATAGTTAGGCACATTAAATTTTAGTTCAGAGAGAAAACGTATTTTTGGCCAAAAATCCTTTAAGGCTATAGACTTACAATTTTCGTCATTTCGGCCAAAAAATGGATTTTGTTCAAAATTTCAGTATAGGTACTCCTGAATGTGCTGCTTAAGGATCTGTTAACCAAAATTTGATATCTTGATTATAACTTGTTCAAATGGCTTTTAGAAAATGTTCAAATGATTTTTAGAATATTTTAATTACTTTTGCAATGCTAATTACTCGCCACTTATGGGTTTTCGAGGTCATTTCTTGGTGCTTGTGTATTATTCTGGATGTACTTAAATAGTTAGGCACATTAAATTTTAGTTCAGAGAGAAAACGTATTTTTGGCCAAAAATCCTTTAAGGCTATAGACTTACAATTTTTGTCATTTTCGGCCAAAAAATGGATTTTGTTCAAAATTTCAGTATAGGTACTCCTGAATGTGCTGCTTAAGGATCTGTTAACCAAAATTTGATATCTTGATTATAACTTGTTCAAATGGCTTTTAGAAAATGTTCAAATGATTTTTAGAATATTTTAATTACTTTTGCAATGCTAATTACTCGCCACTTATGGGTTTTCGAGGTCATTTCTTGGTGCTTGTGTATTATTCTGGATGTACTTAAATAGTTAGGCACATTAAATTTTAGTTCAGAGAGAAAACGTATTTTTGGCCAAAAATCCTTTAAGGCTTTAGACTTACAATTTTTGTCATTTTCGGCCAAAAAATGGATTTTGTTCAAAATTTCAGTATAGGTACTCCTGAATGTGCTGCTTAAGGATCTGTTAACCAAAATTTGATATCTTGATTATAACTTGTTCAAATGGCTTTTAGAAAATGTTCAAATGATTTTTAGAATATTTTAATTACTTTTGCAATGCTAATTACTCGCCACTTATGGGTTTTCGAGGTCATTTCTTGGTGCTTGTGTATTATTCTGGATGTACTTAAATAGTTAGGCACATTAAATTTTAGTTCAGAGAGAAAACGTATTTTTGGCCAAAAATCCTTTAAGGCTTTAGACTTACAATTTTTGTCATTTTCGGCCAAAAAATGGATTTTGTTCAAAATTTCAGTATAGGTACTCCTGAATGTGCTGCTTAAGGATCTGTTAACCAAAATTTGATATCTTGATTATAACTTGTTCAAATGGCTTTTAGAAAATGTTCAAATGATTTTTAGAATATTTTAATTTCTTTTGCAATGCTAATTACTCGCCACTTGCGGGTTTTCGAGTCAGTTTTCAAAAAGCCAGTATTATTCTGGATGTACTTAAATAGTTAGGCAATATTTAAATTTTAGTTCAGAGAGAAAACGTATTTCGGGTCAGTAAATCCTTATTAGCTTTTCTTAGATTTGGCATAATTTTTTGCTGGTTTTCAACAAAAAATGGATTTTGTTCAAAATTTCAGTATAGGTACTCCTGAATGTGCTGCTTAAGGATCTGTTAACCAAAATATGATATCTTGATTTTAACTTGTTCAAATGGCTTTTAGAAAATGTTCAAATGATTTTTAGAATATTTTAATTACTTTTGCAATGTTAATTACTCGCCACTTATGGGTTTTCGAGGTCATTTCTTGGTGCTTGTGTATTATTCTGGATGTACTTAAATAGTTAGGCACATTAAATTTTAGTTCAGAGAGAAAACGTATTTTTGGCCAAAAATCCTTTAAGGCTGTAGACTTACAGTTTTTGTCATTTTCGGCCAAAATGGATTTTGTTCAGTACTTCAGTATAGGTACTCCTGAATGTGCTGCTTATGATCTGTTAACCAAAATTTGATATCTTGATTATAACTTGTTCAAATGGCTTTTAGAAAATGTTCAAATTATTTTTAGAATATTTTAATTACTTTTGCAATGCTAATTACTCGCCACTTATGGGTTTTCGAGGTCATTTCTTGGTGCTTGTGTATTATTCTGGATGTGCTTAAATAGTTAGGCACATTGAATTTTAGTTCAGAGAGAAAAAGTATTTTTGGCCAAAATCCTTTAAGGCAATAGACTTACAATTTTTATTATTTTCGGCCAAAAAATGGATTTTGTTCAAAATTTCAGTATAGGTACTCCTGAATGTGCTGCTTAAGGATCTGTTAACCAAAATTTGATATCTTGATTATAACTTGTTCAAATGGCTTTTAGAAAATGTTCAAATGATTTTTAGAATATTTTAATTACTTTTGCAATGCTAATTACTCGCCACTTATGGGTTTTCGAGGTTATTTCTTGGTGCTTGTGTATTATTCTGGATGTACTTAAATAGTTAGGCACATTAAATTTTAGTTCAGAGAGAAAAAGTATTTTTGGCCAAAAATCCTTTAAGGCAATAGACTTACAATTTTTGTCATTTTTGGCCAAAAAATGGATTTTGTTCAAAATTTCAGTATAGGTACTCCTGAATGTGCTGCTTAAGGATCTGTTAACCAAAATTTGATATCTTGATTATAACTTGTCCAAATGGCTTTTAGAAAATGTTCAAATGATTTTTAGAATATTTTAATTACTTTTGCAATGCTAATTACTCGCCACTTATGGGTTTTCGAGGTTATTTCTTGGTGCTTGTGTATTATTCTGCATGTACTTAAATAGTTAGGCACATTAAATTTTAGTTCAGAGAGAAAAAGTATTTTTGGCCAAAAATCCTTTAAGGCAATAGACTTACAATTTTTGTCATTTTCGGCCAAAAAATGGATTTTGTTCAAAATTTCAGTATAGGTATTCCTGAATGTGCTGCTTAAGGATCTGTTAACCAAAATTTGATATCTTGATTATAACTTGTTCAAATGGATTTTAGAAATTGTTCAAATGATTTTTAGAATATTTTAATAACTATTGCAATGCTAATTACTCGCCACTTATGGGTTTTCGAGGTCATTTCTTGGTGCTTGTGTATTATTCTGGATGTACTTAAATAGTTAGGCACATTAAATTTTAGTTTAGAGAGAAACGTATTTTTGGTCAAAAATCCTTTAAGGCTATAGACTTACAATTTTCTTCATTTCGGCCAAAAAATGGATTTTGTTCAAAATTTCAGTATAGGTACTCCTGAATGTGCTGCTTAAGGATCTGTTAAAATTTGATATCTTGATTATAACTTGTTCAAATGGCTTTTAGAAAATGTTCAAATGATTTTTAGCATATTTTGATTACTTCAAAATGCCACTATTTTGCCACTTATGGGTTTTGAGGTCATTTCTTTTGGTGCTGTGTATTATTCTGGATGTACTTAAATAAAGGGCACATTAAATTTTAGTTCAGAGAGAAAACGTATTTTTGGCCAAAAATCCTTTAAGGCTATAGACTTACAATTTTCGTCATTTTCGGCCAAAAAATTGATTTTGTTCAAAATTTCAGTATAGGTACTTCTGAATGTGCTGCTTAAGGATCTGTTAACCAAAATTTGATATCTTGATTATAACTTGTTCAAATGGCTTTTAGAAAATGTTCAAATGATTTTTAGAATATTTTAATTACTTTTGCAATGCTAATTACTCGCCACTTATGGGTTTTCGAGGTCATTTCTTGGTGCTTGTGTATTATTCTGGATGTACTTAAATAGGTATATTTAAATTTAGTTCAGAGAGAAACGTATTTGTAACAAAAACTTTTAAGGCTGTAGATTCTTATAATTTTGTCATTTTCAATGTAAATGGATTTTGTTCAAAATTTCAGTATAGGTACTTCTGAATGTGCTGCTTAAGGATCTGTTAACCAAAATTTGATATCTTGATTATAACTTGTTCAAATGGCCTTTAGAAAATGTTCAAATGATTTTTAGAATATTTTAATTACTTTAGCAATGCTAATTACTCGCCACTTATGGGTTTTCGAGGTCATTTCTTGGTGCTTGTGTATTATTCTGGATGTACTTAAATAGTTAGGCACATTAAATTTTAGTTCAGAGAGAAAACGTATTTCTGGCCAAAAATCCTTTAAGGCTTTAGACTTACAATTTTCGTCATTTTCGGCCAAAAAATGGATTTTGTTCAAAATTTCAGTATAGGTACTCCTGAATGTGCTGCTTAAGGATCTGTTAACCAAAATTTGATATCTTGATTATAACTTGTTCAAATGGCTTTTTAGAAAATGTTCAAATGATTTTTAGAATATTTTAATTACTTTTGCAATGCTAATTACTCGCCACTTATGGGTTTTCTTTTGAGGTCATTTCTTGGTGCTTGTGTATTATTCTGATGTACTTAAATAGTTAGGCGTTACTAAATTTTAGTTCAGAGAGAAAACGTATTTTTGGCCAAAAATCCTTTAAGGCTATAGACTTATAATTTTCGTCATTTCGGCCAAAAAATGGATTTTGTTCAAAATTTCAGTATAGGTACTCCTGAATGTGCTGCTTAAGGATCTGTTAACCAAAATTTGATATCTTGATTATAACTTGTTCAAATGGCTTTTAGAAAATGTTCAAATGATTTTTATAATATTCTAATTATTTTTGCAATGCTAATTACTCGCCACTTTGAGAGAGGGAAGCACAACATTGATTGCCTCCACACACCCTTTTTCTCCCTCTCTTCTCCCACAGATAGTGTGTATATAGACAGTTGTATCCAGTGACCGGCTCATCCACGCCATCGCCGTTGTCTCACATGAGGCATGCACCGCCCGTTCTGCCTCACATGTGCTAAGCAACCCTACAGACAACAAGTCTCCTACACCGCCTGGAGGGAAGGGGGAGTATTGTAGTTGATTTCTCCCCTACAAACGCTGTTTGTCGCTGAGTAGCCGACCCCACCAATTCCCCAGTGTATGCTTCGTGGTCTAGGTCAACCAGCGCCGCCATACATCACGGAGCGGGGGTCAACTACTAAGCCACGCCAACCCCCGCTATTTAAGACCTGACCTCATGGTGACCTGCCTCTTTCTACCTACAGCCGCAGCCAGCAACACCTCCTCCTCCGCCGCAAGGAGCATGGCGACCCACCAGCTGTCCTTCTCTGAACCAACCAGCTCTCTTTACCTCACGCTTGTAACCATGCGGCATTGTACATCCAATACAACATGTATACAGAGAGCACATTGTGAGTTTTCTTTCTCCATCCCATCCTGAATGAGAACCAAACATCAAGTACCCCACACCTGCTTGTCAGCTGCAGCCAGTGAGTGGTGATGGTCGGTGAAGCATGGGGCGAAAATGAGTTAGTCGAGACTTTATATATGAAGGTTGAGAGTGACGTCACGAAGCTTCATTGAATCATTTTGATGCTTCATTGAAGCATTCGAAGCTTCGAACATGAATATACGCTAAAATACCTAAAAACGTCAAATTTATGGCACAATTTCACTTTTTATTAACTTTTAGGATATAATACAGCTAAAATAGTGTCCCATGACGAAAAAACTAAAAACTAAAAACAGAAAAAGGGAAAAGAAGAGAGAAATACTGGGACTCGACCTCGGGCCTCAATGAGTGGCAAGTAAAACGCTTATCCACTGGACTTTTCGGGAAAGTAGATAATCAACTTTTGGGGAAATATTACCTAATTTTCCGAAGTAGATTATCATAGAAAACGGGAAATTTGTATCACAGAAAATGTGATATATCTACTTGCTGGGAAAGTTGGTTATCTACTTTTCCGAAAGTAGATTATCTACTTTTCGGAAAGTAGATTATTGATTTTAGGGAAGTAGATTATCGACTTTGGGGAAATATTACCTAATTTTCCGAAGTAGATTATCATAGAAAACGGGAAATTTGTATCACAGAAAATGGGAAATATCTACTTTCCGGGAAAGTTGGTTATCTACTTTTCCGAAAAGTAGATTATCTACTTTTCGGGAAAGTAGATTATTGATGTTTAGGGGAAGTAGATTATCGACTTTTGGGGAAATATTACCTAATTTTCCGAAGTAGATTATCATAGAAAACAGGAAATTTGTATCACAGAAAATGGGAAATATCTACTTTCCGGGAAAGTTGGTTATCTACTTTTCCGAAAAGTAGATTCTCTACTTTTCGGGAAAGTAGATTATTGATTTTTAGGGGAAGTTGATTATCGATTTTTGGGGAAATATTACCTAATTTTCCGAAGTAGATTATCATAGAAAACGGGAAATTTGTATCACAGAAAATGGGAAATATCTACTTTCCGGGAAAGTTGGTTATCTACTTTTCCGAAAAGTAGATTATCTACTTTTCGGGAAAGTAGATTATCGACTTTTTGGGGAAGTATTTTATCGACTTTTGGGAAATATTACCTAATTTTCCGAAGTAGATTATCATAGAAAACGGGAAATTTATATCATAGAAAATGGGATATATCTACTTTCCGGGAAAGTTGGTTATCTACTTTTCCGAAAAGTAGATTATCTACTTTTCGGGAAAGTAGATTATCGACTTTTTGGGGAAGTAGATTATCGAGTTTTGGGAAATATTACCTAATTTTCCGAAGTAGATTATCATAGAAAACTGGAAATTTGTATCACAGAAAATGGGAAATATCTACTCTCTGGGAAAGTTGGTTATCTACTTATCAAAGAAAACGGGAAATTTATATCATAGAAAATGGGAAATATCTACTTTCCGGGAAAGTTGGTTATCTACTTTTCCGAAAAGTAGATTATCTACTTTTCGGGAAAGTAGATTATTGAATTTTAGGGGAAGTAGATTATCGACTTTTTGGGAAATATTACCTAATTTTCCGAAGTAGATTATCGACTTCCCCTGAAAGTCAATAATCTACTTTCCCGAAAAGTAGATAATCTACTTTTCGGAAAAGTAGATAACCAACTTTCCCGGAAAGTAGATATTTCCCATTTTCTATAATACAAATTTCCCGTTTTCTATGATAATCTACTTCGGAAAATTAGGTAATATTTCCCAAAAAGTCGATAATCTACTTCACCAAAAAGTCAATAAGCTACTTTCCCGAAAAGTAGATAAATAATCTACTTTTCGGGAAAGTAGATAACCAACTTTCCCGGAAAGTAGATATTTCCCATTTTCTATGATGCAAATTTCCCGTTTTTTATGATAATCTACTTCGGAAAATGAGGTAATATTTCCCAAAAAGTCGATATGCTACTTCCCCTAAAAATCAATAATCTACTTTCCCGAAAAGTAGATAATCTACTTTTCGGAAAAGTAGATAACCAACTTTCCCGGAAAGTAGATATTTCCCATTTTCTATGATGCAAATTTCCCGTTTTTTATGATAATCTACTTCGGAAAATGAGGTAATATTTCCCAAAAAGTCGATAATCTACTTCCCCTAAAATTCAATAATCTACTTTCCCGAAAAGTAGATAATCTACTTTTCGGAAAAGTAGATAACCAACTTTCCCGGAAAGTAGATATTTCCCATTTTCTATGATACAAATTTCCCGTTTTTTATGATAATCTACTTCGGAAAATAGGTAATATTTCCCAAAAAGTATAATCTACTTCGGAAATCTACTTTCCCGAAAAGTAGATAATCTACTTTTCGGAAAAGTAGATAACCAACTTTCAAAAGTAGATATTTCCCATTTTCTATGATACAAATTTCCCGTTTTCTATGATAATCTACTTCGGAAAATTAGGTAATATTTCCCAAAAAGTCGATAATCTAATTCACCAAAAAGTCAATAATCTACTTTCCCGAAAAGTAGATAAATAATCTACTTTTCGGGAAAGTAGATAACCAACTTTCCCGGAAAGTAGATATTTCCCATTTTCTATGATACAAATTTCCCGTTTTTTATGATAATCTACTTCGGAAAATGAGGTAATATTTCCCAAAAAGTCGATATGCTACTTCCCCTAAAAATCAATAATCTACTTCCCCTAAAAGTAGATAATCAACTTTCCCGATAACTATTTTCATCCAGTTTCTTGAACTTTAAGAATGACTTTAAGGTGAAATAACTAAGTTTGTCATGGCTCAGTGGTTGAGTCCTGCTTACTCTTCATGGTGGTCCTATACTCCTATTTGTATTTATTTTTGTTATATGTATATTTTTAGCCCTTATCAGCTTACTGTTTTATTGATCTTTATTGGGAATTGATCACATGATCAGTAAAATTACATTATGGATACTAGAGTTGAGCACTTGGAGGCTTTATTAATACATTACACCAGAAAATGAGAAACAATATTTGTAATACAATACCATAATACAATAAAGTACACATTAGGGTATGAACTACAGATACAAGATAATTATATAGTACATAATACAACAGAATTAAGAGGGTGATGCCTCAGTCATCTGGTGGTGGTGGTGGTAATGTAGCCTCAGTCATCTGGTGGTGGTGATGTAGCCTCCTGCCATCTGATGTTGGTGGTGGTAATGTAGCCTCAGTCATCTGGTGGTAGTGTTGGTGGTGCCTCAGTCATCTGGTGGTGGTGGTGGTAATGTAGCCTCAGTCACCTGGTGGTGGTGGTGGTGGTGGTAATGTAGCCTCCTGTCACCAGGTGGTGGTGGTAGTGGTGCCTCAGTCATCTGGTGGTGGTAATGTAGCCTCCTGTCACCTGGTGGTGGTGGTTGTGGTGCCTCCAGTCATCTGGTGGTGGTAGTAGCCTCTTGCCACCTGGTGGTGGTGGTGGTGTTAATGTAGCCACAGTCATCTGGTGGTGGTGGTGGTGGTGGTAATGTAGCCTCCTGTCACCTGGTGGTGGTGATGTAGCCTCAGTCATCTGGTGTTGGTGGTCCCGTAGGATTATCAGGGCCAGGGGCCCCATGGGATTACCAGGGGTGCCACTTCGAACTACAATGGGGCCCCAAAGGGTCCTACCAGCATCCCATGAGACTACGAGAGGCCCTACCAGGGCCATGGGCCACATGGAACTGTCAGGGCATCCCCAGGGTACTATCAGGCGGCCCCCAGGGGCTCTGTTAGGGATAGGGGGCCCATAGGACTACCAGGCCCAGGAATCCATGGAACTACCAGGGGCCCAAGGGAAGCACAAAGGAGCTTCCAGGAGCCTTACCCGGGCCAAATACCCCATGGGACTACCAGGGGGCCTTATTGGACTACAAGGGGCCCTACCAAGGTATGGAGCCCAGGAGACTATGAGGGCCATGGGCCGTTTCAGGGCCATACTGGCTAGCAACAGGCCCTACGTCAGTCAGGGGACTGGTGGGGACACTCAGTGGCCCTTCCAGGGTCAGGGGCTTATCAGAGGGTCCCCAAAGGCCCTGCAAATTCCATGGACCCCATGGGACTACCACAGTCAGAGGTCCCATGGGACTACCAGTGGCCCCTAGGCCTCAGGGGACTACCAGGGGCCCTACCAGGGTCAGGGAGCCCAGAGAACTAACAAGGGGCCCCATGGGACTATTACTTCCAGGGGCCCTATGGGACTACCAGGGAGGCTGCAGGGACCATATCAGGGGACCCAGGAGACTATCAGGAGGCCCCTCAGGAGCCTTGCCAGGACCAGAGGAATCAGGGGTCCCCATGAACCCTAACAGGGCCAAGGGGACTACCAAAGGCCCTGCGAGGGGTCCCGTGGCACTACCAGGGGGCCCCAGGGTACATCTTCTTCCCAAAGGACTAACTCCTAGAATACTACTGGAGACCTAACCTTCGGAAAATTTGTCATAAGATAGAACCTACCTTCTCCTTGGTCATTCAAAATGTAGTTATAGTTAAAGGGTGACTCACTCATTGTTTATTTCCCTGACTACCCTTAGTGTTGGACTCGTACATTAGAAAGGTCTTCTTTCTGTCTGTAACCACATGCCTGAAAGTTTAATGGGAATGGATTAAAGCAAAGGTGTCTGCTCATGCTGCTGTGATGATTGGAAGTTAGGGGTTGATCCCTGAAATGGTGCAACAGAGAAGTCATGTGCGAGGTGAGAACTGCACCTGTTAGTGTGACAGTGAAGACTCCTTATCTTTAGACATCACTTCCCAGACTCTATTTCAGTGAAGGATAGGGGTCTGATGGGATGAGACTAATTCTTGAATTAGCTCCAGTCAAAAAATTTGAGGGTCCTAGGAACCTTGGGTTTCCAACCAGTGCACTCGTCAGGCTATAACCTAGTTGCGCGAGCAAGGTGTTAGGTAATTAAATGAGTGGCTAAATGAACCCAAGCCCTAATAGGCTTCAACCTAATCACTAAGATTGGGGCCCAGTCATAATAGCTCCTACTCCTAGTAGGTCCCAGTCATACTACAGTAGTTAGCTTAACTTGGAGCCTATTAAGAGTGGTGCCCATTAAACTTGTAAACATTCCATCATGTAACTATTGTAACTTGTTTTATAGAATGGTAAACCACAAACAATACTTGGGCAAAAATAATCCAGTTCTTAAACTGTACAGTATATGAATGACAAGAAAATAGAACACTCAGCATCCTATCATGAAGTCTTGCATTTCTATCAGGATAAATGTATAACTTATGGTTAATGCTGCAGTTAATTCAGGTGTATTTGCATTTAGTTCATAGATTACAAAGGATTAAGTGAGCTCTTTTAAATACACACATACACATATTTTGTGTAGTGAAGGCATTTATTACTGTATCATACATTAAAAATTATCATTATATGGGGTACAATAGTGTGGTTTACACATATGGTGGGTAAAGTTCCTTATGCCATAATATACATACAGTGGCATTAGTAAACCTACTGTATGTTAATATGAACTTGAAAATTTTAATAAAAAGCGCTGTGTCTGAAATAACAGCAGTCAAGCCATGCCTCAATGCTTTTACAATTGTAGTACAGTATTAAAAAAGGTAACATGACTTATCTTTGAAGGAGTAAATTCTTAGAAAAGTGAAATTCAAAAATCCACAAAATGTGTCAAGTGATCACTTAGCAGAAGCTGATGTACTACAAGCTGTGAAAGTTATTGACTATAAGACTGTCTCTCCTGTCCCCTTTGTCCAGCAATCTTGGGTATGACTGGAGGCAGACTAAAATGGTCAAGGAAGGTTACAAAAAATACAAACTATAATTAAAGGGACTGGCACAAATTGCATTCATTATTATTATTATTATTATTATTATTATTATTATTATTATTATTATCATTTGGTAGCTGCACTCAAGAAGTTTAGGACTAGTTTGGGAGGAATGAAGTACAAGTGGGTCATTAATTTTTGTTACATTAAACAAAAGAATACTGCATAAAATAGTTCTATTTCCATTACATTATGAAACATTATTTTGGTAAAGCTAAAATGATTATTCATAAAGTAAAGAAAAATTATATGTGATTATGCATAGTATGATATATCAAATACTGGGCATCTCTTATTAATGGCAGCAACAAATTCTTGGGAGTGTTTCTACATGAATAAAACATCACTCACACCAAATATACAGTACAGTATAATTAAGTTGGTAGGGATAGTTATGTAATGATGGGTGGTAATTTGCATGGCTGATGAGGAAGAGAAATTTTTTATGAAAGCTAAGAGCCTCTTTTCAAGGATTAGCATACAGTATAGATACATGAATTAAATAAAAAAAAGGTTTTGTGTTATCAAATGCAGTGTTTTACAGAGCTAAACTCCCAAATTTTAGTAAAATCTTCATCAAGAAAGTGTTATCAACCAGTTTGAAAGCAACAAGAAACTGGATCTACCGGAAGGAACGGATAACCATTTAAATAACACTGTTTTCTTTTCTTGTAAAGGCTGACTGTTAACTAAGGTTATGTTGATATACAGTATTCCTTTCACATTACATGTGATGTATGGGTCTACTGTCCAGGTGATCCATTTGGTAGAACCATATACAATAATATGGCCGTTAGCCGGAATCCCCCAAACCAGGAACTCTCCGATAGCCGGAATTTAAAATTTCTCGGAAAATCGTTCACAAAGCCGGAATTTTCCGGAAAATTCCAGCTTTGGGAGCAATTTTATGAGGGGCACATTTTCCCCAAATTCCGAAAACATTTTCCCGATACCCGGAAAATTCCGAGGATGGGGGATTTTTTTCCGGCTTTGAGAGAGTCGTCTCGTTACCCTGAAATCTCTCATTCCCGGAAGTGTACTGCACCAATTGTTCCGGCTAACTGGGATATCACTATTCAGTATATGTTCGACATGTTTGCCATTATTGTCAATACACTTTTGTAATTATTAACACTGTGCATTCAGGTATCTGCTATAATTTAAAAACCAACTTGAAAACCAAATTTATAAAGTTAATTCTCAAATTAAAGAAGATACAATATATCAGAGCTCAGTGTCATTGGATAATTAGATTACAAAAATGCATCAACAATAATAATGAGCAAGCTGAATGTACAGTCCCCCATAAAACTAAAGTTAGATTTTCCATCGCTACAATTTGAAATGCTAGACAAAATATTTTGATATAATCTTCAGTGCATCATCATAAGTTGCTATGCCTACTCGCCATATCAGCAACAACTAGAGATGGGGGAGGAGGTTGTCCTGTATGGCATACTAGATAATTCAATATACATATACAGTAACAAGAAATCCATTAAGCTATATTAATGTATGTATCATGCTGGGCACAAGTAAGGCATATGTAAACAATAATTGACTGAGGATTATACAATAACACCGAAATATACATTAAATGGAAATGTTTCGGAACATCGTGACTAAGAAGACGTTATACTAATGGAGGTTCAGTCACACAATATACCTACTCGTGTTGTTCACAATATGTCTGATTTATGAAGTGACTTAGCAAATAGAACTTGATATTAGAGTGAATAGCTACAGCAATATACATTATCTAGGTCTACATGGGATCTGCCATGTTACTGATATGTAACAGTAAATTGTATTGGTTTAACACTGAAATAAGGTTTCAAATCGAGGGACTTGCAGGCAACAGGCAATCTATAGAGAGACATTTGTGGTTGTAAGTTTCAGTGTGGCACCAGTTGTTTCATGGCGCCTAACCCATCGTGATACTGTGGGTTAGTTTACTTGTGATGTCTCCCCAATAATTTTTCCCTCCATTTCATGTAAGATCCCGTAGATAACTGGCATGGTGTTGGTATCCATTTACAACATCTAATCCAAATCATGTACTGTAATACTGTGTATATGACTTGAAGCCTCGGAGGATTCACATCATTCGATAACGTACTCATTCATGCTCAAAGATCGCAGATGTAAAACTACCAACCGTTCTGAAACAGGTCAAGTACTATCGCTCGGAAAGCCACAAATCACATTGACCCCATAGCTAACAATACTTTTTGGGAGGACTGTACATCATCATCATCTCTGTCTTATGGCCATTTTTCACTTATGTGGGTTAAACATGATTACCTGAAGGCATCTCCCCAGGTTATTTGGTTTCTGTCGGCCTCTATTGTTATGTTCTTATCTCTAAGGTCATTACTCACAACCTCGCCCTATGTCATTCATGGCATACCTCTGGCTCTCCTTCCCTCTACATTCAAACTCATGCATATCTTTACCTAATTGGTCTCCTCCATTCTCTCCACTTGCTCAAA